CAACAGATGACCATGGTTAGTCTGATGTGAATGTGTTTATCAATATTTGGAGAAGTCAATATTTTTACCTATATTGAATTCTATTTTGCGGTGGCTCAGAGAACAACTCTTCCATTTTGAGCTGGTCTAAGGATGATAAGCATGGAGGAGTCAGGTTAAAGCACACTAAGGTATGTGCATATAGTTCTTACCACTCCATCAGACACTATATGTATGTTAAATGGGTTATGCAAATCTAACTTTCGTATGTTTGATGTGTTTTGCAGAATGTCACATCTGTTGAGTGGCACCGTAAAGGAGACTATTTCTCAACACTTACACCATCTGATATCCTTTTTTTAATGAAACTAAATTCTCAATTTGAGCTCACAGTGGATTTCTTTTGGCAGCAGAATATACACGTATCATTTATAAGCAAATGCACTGAGTTTCTGAATTCATGAGATTCATGCATCTCTTCTTCGTCATTTGCATCCATTAAGATTAAAAGAAAGTCATTTTGTGGGTGTTTCTCTGTGCTTATAAGCTAGTCAAAACTGCTTATAAGCAGTTTTTACTTGTAAGTCAGCTGATGACATGTTTCTGTGTGCTAACAAGCAAACTTATAAGCTGCTTATAAGTTGGAAAAAATAAGTAAGTTTAACTACTTATTTTTAAACCAATTTTTTTGTTTCTCCATTTTGACCAAACTATTTACAAAGTTTTCCTTCAACATTTATGAATATTTACAAATGATTTATTTATCATTTAAGTCATTTTACTTCCACAAAAGAATATTTGACTTATAAGCAACTTATAAGTTAAAATTTGCTTATTAGCAATAAGCCAATAAGCACCAAGTACAGAGAAACACGCCCAAATTATTTGAAGAAATTTGACCTTAGAGCTTATTTCCAAATTTACTCACCATTTCCTACTTTGGTGCTTGCCTATGGATATCTTGCATCTTTCAACTTTCAACTTTCAATCCTCTTGATTGTTCATTCTGCCATTTTTCGTACAATTTTTGGTTGCTTTTTGCTGGATAAGCAATTGAAAGAACAAACATTTGCAAGATATCGATATTCATGCACCACCTACAAAAAACTCAGTATAATTCCTACTCAGATGGAGTCTAGACGGGTAAAGATGTATTCAACCTTACCCCGATAGGTTCATTTTTATCCACCAAAAGGGGGAAATGAAAGCAGATGACCAAAAGAGGGGATGACCTTGAGGGTCGTGAAACCAAAAGAGGAAAATGTTGTTCTCTTTATTAGGGGTTAGGTCTGTGTACACATAAAAAATGTTGCGGGATTTTACAGGGTTGTTGACTATGGAGTAACAAAATGAATAAATGATACGTTTCGTAAGAAGTTGCTACCTGTGACAATAATACTGTATAGCACTATAAATCTCTTTGTTCTTAATTGGTTACATGTTCTTTCTTAACCCATGCTTACGGGAATCAAGAGCAGCATTTATTCATTCTCTCTCAAAGAAGCAGACTCAAAAGATACCATTCAAGCTTCACGGAATTCCAGTATCAACCGCTTTCCACCCTTCTCTTTCAGTTTTCTTCATGTCAACAAAGAAAAACATCCGTGCCTACGATTTGGTGAAACAAAAACTCATCAAGAAACTTGAAACTCATTTCCATGAAGTATCATCTGTTGCTATCCACTCAAGCGGTAAGTTTCAAAGCTCTTGGTTTTTCATATGAAACTAAGTTATAGCACAGATGTGTTATTTTATTGCACCTATATACCTTCATATGCAGGTGACCATGTCATTGTTGGAAGCAAAGAAGGGAAACTTGGTTGGTTTGACATGGACCTTTCATCTAAGCCTTACAGAGTTCTCAAGTAAGTATAGGGTTTATATTTAGATGAAAATTCTATTGTGGTTGTAAGTTATGGATCATTTTCAAAAAGATGTTATTCTAATTTTAGAATCAGGTGATTCTTAAAATTGGTAGAATTAGGTGCTAATAAGGAGGTAGGTTGGTTTCCAAAATCTCCAATTCAATGGGTTGGGTGATTCCCAAAATCTCATTTTGGAAATCAGAATCTCTTGCCTTATTCCAGCTAAAAATACAAACCAAATAGACAGAAAAGTGAAAGTGATTCTAAAACCAGCAAAATATCCCATGAATGCTAACCATATAATAGTATACCCCATATTTTCCATAGCTTATCACCAAAGGCGGCCTGACACCCTACCCGAACTGCTTTATTTTAAAATAAAATCTATATATTTCCTGCCACACAAAAACAAACCAATTTCAAAAGCTTTCTTTCTCCAAAAAAGTTACAAACATGCTTGTTATGATAAATTTAGTTTAACTTAACAAATATATTTGGGTACTCTGAACTTGAAAAATATAAGCCAAATTCCATGCCTTTTTGGAGTTGTCCATACTTTGCCAAAAATCAAATGTTAAACATGACTATTTATTTGGGTAGGACTGTAGGAGGGAGTAATGCATTATTGTAACTTGACATCACTTGTCTAAATGTGATAACTATTTTTCTTTTATAAAATTGCAGATGCCATCCAAAAGACATAAACAAAGTTGCCTTCCATCGTTCCTACCCTTTGTTTGCTTCATGTTCCGATGATTGCACTGCATATGTCTTCCATGGCATGGTTTATTCAGATCTGAACCAAAATCCCCTCATTGTTCCTCTAGAGATTCTCCGAGGACATACCACTACAAACGGGAGAGGTATTTCAATAGGAAAAATGCTACCTTAACCCTATGGATACCATCAGAGACAATACACACACAACCATTGGATGCGAGAAATTATTGTTAGTGAAACACTAACAATGTCAACACTCACCCGTGATGTGATTGTAGCATGGTCCATTTCAAGTAAATAATTTAGTTTGTGAAATTGTTTTTTTTTTTTGTTTTTTCCTGACAAATTCAAACTTGCACTTTCAGGTGTTCTCGACTGTACGTTCCATCCTAAACAACCTTGGTTATTTACTGCTGGGAGTGATTCTGTGATCAGGCTCTATTGTGACTAACTGCATTTTTCTTCTCATAATACTTGTATGATTATGAGCCAAACAACCGTAATGTCCATGAAAGTGGACACTGATCTCTGTTTATTTTACTTCTCAATTGGTCTGCAATTTTGTTCTTGTTGTCTGTAGTAGTGATTAGTGAACTGCAATGGGAATTTCCTTATATGAATTGTGTATTAGTTTTATTCAGGAATTTGAGGGAATACATGAAATTGAATCAAACTTTAAATAAAATCTTTATTTGTGCAGCAAGAACTTTTGACTTTGACTTAGAATGACCTTGGCATTTTAGGCACCTATTGTGCCCCGTTGATTAAATTGATGATTCTTATTCCCCTTAACCTCCACAAAACTCTTGCACCCCACCCCATTCTCCTCCCTCGTTGCTGATTTGAGCAGCCAAATTGGCGATCTCGGGGGAAAGAGAGGGTGTGGTAGGGGGTTGGAGTGGGGTGCGAGTGAGATATGAATCATCAATTTTACCAACAAAGTATTGCACATTTGAAGATCAAATTAACCAAGGGCAAAAAGACAATAGTATTATTTGTGTTATGTATGGGTGAACACGGTATGGTATGTGAAGGTATTTAGCTTGTATTAATACTATATTGAATATTTTTGTTTGGTATTAGATTTTACATCAAATAAATTCCGATTTTGAAATATCATCTCAAGGTGGATTGGTGTCAGTATACATCGGGATGAATAAATATGTATTTATTAGGGGTGAGCAAGTACAGAACCGATACCGAAATTTACCAAAAATACCGAGAATACTGAACTGAAAAATACCGAACTGAAAAAGTACCGAGAAGGAACTGAATCGTACCGAACTGAATGGTCGGTACAGTATTTGGGAACGGTACGAGGTGACATCCCATACTGAAAATCCCGAATCGAACATATATACTAAAATATTATAAAAAATAATACCCCGAAGTAATATTCATATTCCTTCACTAAATAATAATTTTTTTAAAAAAATGGTTCAAGTTCTATTATGTGTAAATTATACTTTTATTTGAGTTTTAGTTTTTGTGTATTAACATAAAAATATTCACAAAGATTCGAAATACTCCTTTGTTGTCGTTCATTTTTCTAGTTTGTGAAATACTCCGTATAAACTAATTTTTCATACGCATCTCTTGCATTTTAAATATTCATTTTTTTATGTTTTGATGTTTTTTAATTAAAATTCACTTTTAATTTTCAAAATAAAGGGACGTTAAAATTTTAATGTGTAAAGTAGGTGCATATATTTATCTCGATTTGTACCGAAACCGATACCGAACCATCCTGAATCATACCGAATCGATATTTCGGGATCGGGACCAGTACAGAGTAAAATCTCATACCGAACCGAAATATTTGGTACGGTATCGGTACGAGCTAAATACCGTACCATACCGTACCATGCTCACCCCTAGTATTTACTCTTATTTTACATTTAAAAATGTAACAAACCCTTTTATACTCTGTATGTTTTTAAAAAAAATCAAATAGTAAATTTAATAATTGATTTTTATAGGAGTAGTAGAGAATTTTTTATATTTTGTCTTCTATCATTAAATATTACGTTGGTAGTTTTTTATGTGTATTATTTCGTGGACTATTCAATTTTGACCAATACTGGTGTTAAATTAAATACTAGAAGTGTAATTTAACAATGATCATATATCTTTCTTATCAAAGCAATGTCAGAAGTCGTTATTAATGTGTTTGTCAATTGGAGTTGCTCTCTACTGCAAGTATAGTTTACATGTCTCGGGTGGAAATTCTAATCCACTACCTTGTCAGTATTGTGTTGTCTATCAAACCAACATTAAAATACGTTATTGGATATGGAGTTGATATGAAATTACACGCTTACCTTTTAATTTAACACTAACATAACATAAGATCAAAAAAGACTGTCCGTAAAGGACCATGAACGTAATATTTTGTAAAGGACTAAATATATTGGTGTTTGCAATAAATTTAGATTTGGTTTTTACAATGTTTTCTTTTTCACTACTCTTACACAAATACAAATGTTGGTAGAAAAAAGCTCCCAAAAAAAACAAAAACAGAGTAGACACCCTATTGAGAAGGTTGAAAGAAAAAAAAGCAGCAAAAAAGCTATTTTATTTAGTACACACACATTGGACACCAAAGCAAACAACAATGTTGCACAAAATATTAGCGACGCCATTGTAGCGCCTCCAACTCATATGGCCTCCGGTGGCTGTGAACCGAGGGAGAGGTTTCTTGTGGGACCCACCAGAGAAGACACGGCCTCACATTCGTCATACTCCGGAGCCGGAGACGCAACACTTTGTTTGGCTTTGAGGGACATCTCTTGTTCCTCGTAGAAGTCAAAGTCGTCCAACAACGACGATTTCTCATGGTAACTTTTAAATATGTTTAACATCTCCAGACCTTCTTTCAAGCCCACCTAAACAAGTTCAAAACCACGAATAGGTTAACAAAACATATGTTTTCTTTAAACAAAACTTATGATATCGTTGATAATCATTGCAAAACCTTGCATAACCAAAATTTAAATCCATAAGGCACACATAAAATCTATAGACCTAACAAAAATTGACATGACCTATTTTTGACCTAAAATTTAACTCGAAAATATTGAATTTTGAAACAAAGATAATGTTAATAGAAGCCAAAATGACTCGTTAAACATGGATCAAACCTCACCGAATCCTTTCTCAATCTGATTGACCTACTAAGGTAAGGTTGTTCAAAATAATATCCTTTAGTATGAACTAATAATGTCATAAAAATCATACTCCCTCCGTTCTAAAAAAAGTTCCTACTTTGAAAAAGTGGAAAAGTAAGGAAGTGTTAAATTGTAGTTGACTTCCAATTTTGCCTTTGATGTGATGCGTAAAAGTAAAATGTGATGGATAGATTATTAGAGAAAAAGTATGATGCGATAGGTAGGGTATGAAAAAATAAGTGTAAAAGTGGTTTTTTAATAGAAAGTGGAAGTGTTTTGTTGAAAGTGAAAAAAATGAAAGAGGAAGTGTTTTTTAGAACAGAGGGAGTATTATAATATTTTTTTCCTATTACTAACTTATATATATAGTTATATATTCAAGTGCTTTTAATGATATAGTATTGTTATCTTACTTTTTTTCTAACATCTTACATAATTTTATACATTATTTATAATGTTATTGTATATCTCTAAAAGTTAATTAAGAATTCAAAAAAATATTATACTGTAATAGCTTTAATATATATTTTGATATTGTTATTCTTGTATGCAAACAAGTGCTAGCATAAATTTAAGCATCCTAAAAATAAACACCGACAACTCATTGGGTCAACCCGAACGCAAAGATAGTAGACCATGAAGATGCATTCGCAATCCAAACCCAAAGTTACCGGAATCCAAAGGAACCAAACCTGAATTAGACCTAACCGGTCTCTTTCACAAAGTTAATCACGCAAACAACCCCCCTAAAAAACTAGCACCTAGATAAGTAGAAAGCAAAGTCTTGCAGCTAGACGTGAAGATGAAGAGGAGAGCATGTGGTAAAACGAAAACAAAAGTTAGCATAAAAACAGATTTTTTTGCGATTAAAGTTACCTCTTGAGTGTCTCGAGTGTAGGTGACATCCCTATTGTCATTGTTTTTAAGGATAATGTGCTTCAACTGATGGTGGGGGACATCCTTAACAATGTGCCACTTCACCGGGAAGAAGCCACTCCATTTATCAAGCTGCCAAAAGTCCAGTTTCTTGTTGAAATCAACCGGCCCTATCATCTCCGCCACACCGAGGAACTGCCCACTTCCATTAACCTTATAAACCATAAAAAACAAAAAGATGTGGAAGAATTAGCCAGGGTGCACTTTTGAAATCCCAGGACGGGAAAGCACGCACTTCATAAAAAAATATAGGGACTAATGGTGCACTTTTAAAAGTTCGGGAGGAAAACATGCACTTTTTAAAGAGTTTGAGGGTAAAGCACGTAATTTATGAAAAGTGCATTTTTGAAAGTTCTAGGAGAAAACATGCACTTAACGAAGAGTTCAGGGGCAAATGACGCAATAAAACTCCAATATTTTTAATGGTCCCTTTGGACAAAGACACTTCATTTGTAGATCCTGGATTGACTCAATTTCCTTGTTTGGCTAGTTGTGGAATTTAGAATATGAATTGGGACAAATCTAGTACAAAGTGGATTTCTAAACGAGCTCAAAAACACAAGGGTCATTGTCAAGCAAAGAATTTGATTCTAAACATGTTCAAATGGAATACGCCTATCCAAACAAAACCTAAGGAAAGTGTAAAAACAGAGGAAACTAAACTTACAGAAAAGAAGAGGAAGACCGGGCACTTTGCGCCGGTTTCACTGCTTTTCCCTTCAGCTTCGCGGAAAGCATCGTCTAGTTTCTTATTCCCGATTGGCGTGCTTGACCAAACATCATATTTAACACATCTGTGGACATTGTCTTCAGTGAACGACTTGATCACATAAAACTTGGCATGATCATAGTGAGTACAGAAATCTTCTTTGTTGTACAGGCTCCGCTGGACGCTCTCATTTTCACCCAATGGCTTTGAGGGGTTATTGCTCTTCGCTTTCGCCCTGGGCCCGCGGTTAAGTTCAGAAGAAGAGGCGTCTTTTACTCCCTTCTTGTTGAAATTGTCTCTGGGATTGGATTTAAAGTTGCCACTCATGAAGACTCTGCCGTTCGTTTGGTAGTTAAGTTGACCATGGTGCAAAAAGCCTTGGTTTTGACTTGTATGTGATGGAAACTTTGTAACCGGGTGAAACCCGTTCGGCTGGCCTTGAGGTTGGTAGTTTGAACCAAACTGCAAAGGATGGGAGAATTAGAATCTGTTTAAGGCAGCGCTCCGTTCAACTTGTTTTTTCTGCTTATTACTTATTCTTATTATAATCAGACCAGACCAAATCAGATCAGAAACAACTTTAATAATAACGATAATAAGATCAGACCACACTAGATCGGATCAGATCTTCAAAAAATTAGATCAGATCAGATCAGGCGAACAGAACACAACCTAAGTCATGTTTGGCCAAGTCTTGTTTTGCAAACCTTGTTTTTACTCCCTCCGTCCGGTTAAGTTCTTCTCCAATTGACTTTTCATAGTTTTTAAGGAGAGTTAAAAAAAAGGGTAGAAGTTTACCAAAATGCCCTTATTAAAGTGGGTGGAGTACATTGAATGAGGTGTGATAAATAAAGAGGGTGAGGGTAGTTGCGGTACTTCAAATGTTAAAAAAGGTAATGAAAAGATCTTTCCCGGACAGAATTTTTTGCTGGAACAGAATATTGACTTACAGAATTCAAATGGGGAGGCACGTTTCTGGTCGAAAAGCCATGGTTTGTTTTTGAAGAGTTAAAACCTTTCGGCTTTAGTGAACCGCCTGTTGCTGTGGTTGTAGAATTCCTTGATGAACTCCATTGTTGCTGAAGATATCCTGATGATGATGATGATGACGATGGTGTATACGGTTGTGGTTTCAAGTGTTTCCCATCTGAACCCATAAACTTTGGGGCATAATGATTATAGTCAGGGAGATAATAACGGTAAGAACCGTTTTCTGATTGGATGCCCTGCAATTCGTTAAAATTATAATGTCAAAATCTAAAAATTTGATCTGGTTATTGAACATAAAAATGCCATAAAAAAACATACCGTATTAGAACAACCGTGATGATCATTATTCAAAATTTTGTTGTATCCTGCAAGAACAACAGGTCAAATAATCGTTAGGCATTCTTTAAAAGTAGAGAAAATTGTAAACTTCATTTTGGGACCGAGGGAGTGTTAACTTTTTTGTTTTTTTTTTCCACCAATGACCCTATTTGTTTTTTACATAAATACCCCCATGTTATCCCTTGTTTATCACAAGTAATTAATATAAGAAGTGTCCTCCGATAGAATTTAGAATAACTTGTGAAGGCCAGACAAACCTGCATAATATTGTTCAAAGGAGATCGTCCGTTGATCAGAAGGGCCCTTAACACGAGTGGCAACATTGCCCAATGGAGAACTGGAAGATTGTGAAACATATGGTTTTCCTGCTTTTCTGGAAATCTATATAAATTAAGATTTTAAAAAAGTAACAAAAGATTAGAAAACTAGACAATCATATTGATGGGAGGAGACCGAAATTTTAAGAAATTCAAACCAAAGAAGAATATGTATGTTTAGAGTACAAACTACCTTGTGAGTCAACTCAGTAACCGCTTCAGTTTCCAATCCAGAAAAACTTGTTTGAGCTTATAGGTAGTTGAGTTAAGTTAAGTATTATACACAAAATTAGCAAAAAAATCTCAACTTAAAAAATAAATAAAATTTGACAAGAATTTCATAGTCCATCATGAATCCAAATAAAGTGAAAAAAAAACACTTGGGGAAAGAAAAGTTATATCTGCAGATCTTGGTGAAAATGGCACTAATTTGATTTATTTTTTTTAAAAAAGAAAGCCCAAAGTCTTATATATTTGTTTAAATTTAGCCAGTATGAATTGACTTTACAACAAGAAGCAGAAACTACAAAAAAGGGATACATTTCTCAAACATCTTGTCTCCGGCCATTGGCAACCTTTGCAACCCAACTCTTAACCTGAAATACGTTGCAGTCAACGATAGGCGAAAACAAAAAAAAAACCTTAAACAAGTCAAATGTAGTTGCTCAATCTCGTTTCGGTTTAAAGATTCAATTTGAGTTAGTTTTTAAACCAAGAAAGAAATTCATATCATACATTATGGGTAAACAGGCTTCATTTTGGGACAATTTGCCAATCTCAATCAATCATAAGAAAAAATGTAACCTCATCATACCTAAGAACGCGGAGTGTTAATCCAATTACTAATACTCTGTATAGACAACTATTCATAACTCAAAAGTAATTATCAAGTGAAGTTAAAATTTAGCTTCAATTGATTGCAAATTAGAAATGTGTGTTGCCACTAGATTTATTTCTTAGAACCATGCATATTAATCCATATATATTACAGGTTAAATTTTTTGCCAAATTTTGCAAACCAATTTCGCCCAAGACAATAAAAAACACAGATTTTCAAAGATTATTACTACTTCCGTCAAACTTTGATCGTCAATTAAATAAAAACTGCATCGCATACTAGTATAAAAATGAGTTCCCTAGATTTATCTTGTAAATATTTCCAATAAAGAAAACACTTTATCTTATTAACCTAAAATACAAATTGATGATTAAAATTCAGAGGGGTATACTGTGGGACACTCAGGCAACAACTTTTAGCTTTAGAATTTTAAAAAAAGCCGAACTTGTTTGAAAATAACGTTTTTGATTAGCATTAACATTTTAAATAAAACTCGAACTGCGTAAATTAACTTCGAAAACACGACAACTGTTGGAGAGTTTTTTCAAAATGCTAAATGTTGAAGTTGTTACCAAACGCACCCATTTGGCTTTATCATTAAAACCATCAAAAACGCTAACGATAATCTAAACGTGATTCACAAAAAAATAAAGTCATACAAGAATTTGAATTGATTGTAAATAATTTAAAGAAAAACAGGGAACTGACCTCAAATCACCAAACTGCTTCAAAAGAAGAAGAAGGGGTAAACTGTAAAATAGAGATTAAAGATGAGAGGATGAAAAGCTGAGAATTTGGATCGACGGAATATGTGACGGCGGCGAAGATAATTCCACAAACTAATTTGTAAAAAAAAAAAAGAAAAAAAAAATTGCAGAGTAAATTTGATGATTCCTTCAAAAAAAGAAAAAGAAATTTGTAGAGTAGGGAGTATTTAAAAAGCCCAACCGAAGCAGAGACGAACTGACGAGATGTGTACTTTGTGTCTCTGCAGTTTCAAATTCAGGTGTCTTTTGAAACTTCCAATGAACATGTTTTTGATTGGGCTGCTCATTTGTTAATTGGGCCAAATTGCATTAAAAATTATAGGTACTCACATATTGACTTTCAAAATTAAAATACTACTCCCTCGGTCCCATTTTAAATTATCTATTTTCCTTTTTTCTATGTCCCAAAATAGTTACCTGTTTCTTGTTATCGAAAATTGTTAAGAGTAAAATACATACACTACCCCTAAAATAAGTCATCCTTCTCCACCTTATCTTCTCATCCATCGTCACCCCTCCTAAAAAGTAATGACAATTTCGAAAAGTCAACTCTATTTTTTCTCTTCCTTAAATATGCCCCAAAGTCAAAACGATAATTTAAAACGGGACGGAAGGAGTACTTTTTTAATGCAATTAAAATACAACTTTGTATAAAAGTAATTGTGAAGTATTTTTGTTGGGACATCTAAAAAAGAAAAGTATAAATAAATTTATGAAAAAGAGGGGAAGTGTAATTATATACGAAGTAGATTTTTTGTAACACTTCAACTTGCGTAACACGAAATCATAATTAACGGTCGAATGCTACCAAAATATTATCCAAACATCACATTTTACAAATAAATTAATGTTACGAATGAGAGGAATTTGACTCAAATCCAAATTCAAAATTTTTGAATTTCCCAAACATGGAATTTGAGTCAAATCCAGATTTGAAATCCAAATCCATGTTTCCAAACATGCCATAAAATGATTTCAGCTCAAAGCATTATTTAAAGACGTTCATCAGAGTAATAAAAATCAATGCGGAGCTTTAGCAAATAATTCAAGACACAAGTTTGAGTTCACTCACAAAAATGTAAAAAGTTCATACAAAAAATAAAGAGTAATTCAAAATCTTCCATCATGCATTCACACATCTTTGCTTTTGCAAACCGATAATTTCTAAGTAAATATTTTCCCAAAATGAAGTCCATGAGCCTACTTGAGTGGTCATTTTTAATAATATTGTCTTTGTACCTGATTTGGAAGTACACTATACTTTCACTGTGTTTGTAGTTGAACTTTATACATATATATTTAATAATTGATATAAAAAAGGATGAGCCCCATCCCCAAGGGCCCTCAAACCTGGCCGGACGGTAACTGAGAGGAGGTAAATTAGACTTTGATCGCAGACTAGTGGCAAAAAGTGGAGCCTACACATGGTACTTGCAGAGGCTCTATGCCTAGCATACTTGCTTTCCAACGCAATTGCCAGAAAATGAACTCAGACCTTACCTCATTGGCACTCTTTGTCTTGCCAACTGCGCAAAACCCACCAGCTAATAATGGATACCAAAATATTAGAAGGGTGGCCCTTCCAAACGGATGTAGTCATACATGACTCCATTGAATTTATCTCCTTTTCTTGTTTGTCTCAAATATAAATTATTCTCTCCCTTCACAAGCTCACTTCCCTGAAATTCAAAACTCGAAAGGGTATACAACCCGTGGCTTCCGTGTCGGGCGATGGCATTGTCTCTTACACTTCCATCCGTTGTGAATATTGGACGTCCATTTGGATTGTTGATCAAAACCTATGAGTAAACATACAAAAAATTAGAATCATTTGTGTCGTTTCAATATAAATTTAAGAAAACAAAAGATTTTATCTATTCTTTCCATTAATAAACCAACTCAACAACAAGTTTAGTTAAACTTATGGTTACAATCTAAAAAGGAACAAACTCAATCACAATAAGCTTAAGCTTATAAATGTACGTCTAGGAAAAAGAGTTTACATCAATTAATTTTCTTGCTCAAGGAATCAACTCAAACTCGTGACTTTTTTATCAACAAAGTTTGAATGACATATCAAGGATCTAAATTAACCAAACGATCAAGTTTATAGTTGTTGACCGGAAAAGGTTATATACTCTAACATCCCTGACATAGTTATAATAATAATAATAATAATAATAATAATAATAATTTAATAATAATAATAAGAGTAATACGTACATCAATTTTTTCCAAGTTGGTGGCAGCTATTGCGATTCGAAGTGTGTAGGTTCCTGCAGGGTTAACATTGTCCATTGTGAATGATATTGTCCACGTTGTTTGTGCATACACATTGCCCCCAACTTTCCTGCATGATTGGTTGCAGGTAATAAAATTTTAACCCAAAACTGAATTAACCCAATTGAAAATGCAATTCTGGTGGGTGGGATTAGGGTTGTAGGTAAAAGACACTTTCTCTTTTTTTTCTTTCTTCTCAAAAAACTTTTCTTTTTAGTGAAAAGTTACTTTTACCCATGTTAATTCATAACATACCCATCATATCACATTTATTCACTATTAATCTATTCATCACGTCAAACATTTAGTCATCACATGCAAGGGCAATTTTGGAAAGTCAAATCCAAAACAAACTCTCCTTAAATCTTTTAAAAATTAAAACCAGAAAGGTCTTGTGGGACCAATGGAGTAGAAAAATCATCAAGTAGTGTTTAAAAACGCAAACAAAGCACGTACCGGCTGACATGTGCGAAAAACCAATCTCTTTGGTAGTCGCTTTTCCCAATCGTGAAAACCAAATCTTGGAGAGGGAATAAATCGGTATACCGATCCCAGAGCCCATACTGCCTAAACCTGTTTGTCTCAAAACACTTAGTTTCAAAATAAGATTTCAACAAAACCTTATCAAATCTCAAAGTGTTCAATTTATTTACAATTTAGGGTTCTTACTTTTCAGGTTGATTGAGCAATGCATAGTTCTTGAGGTTAGGTGCAGGGTCAGGGATGAAGAACTCTGTTGCCTTTCTATCTGGGATGCCAATTTCCCATATTGTTGGGCCATTTCTAGGAGGATCAAACAAAAGTTCACCTAGGCTTAATTTTTCTCCTGGTTGTATTATAATGTCAACTTTGTTTCTATAGTCTCCCAAGATCCCAGGAACCCAACCATACAAGTTATAGGTTCCTGGTCTTACTGCACTGATTTGAAAATATCCATTGTCATCTGTTCGTGTCCAAAATTGATACCCCTAGAAAATAAATAATATATTTGTTACAACTTACAATCATATATATCCAACTTATTATCAAAACCAAGAGCAGGAAAATTTATGTTGTTTAATGAGTAAATTCTATAATTGGTCTTTTATAACACGAGGTTTTCTATATTTAGTTCTCTATTATGAAATATTATCCATGTTGTAGTCATTCTTTTATGCTATTTAGGAAAAGGTACCCATAAAAGAACTACAGAAGTAATATTTAATAATATAGGACTAAATATGGAAAATCATTTGTTATAAAAGATCAATTATGAAATTTACTCTTATTTAATTAAGGCGATAAAACAATGAGTAATTAAAAGAAGGCATTTAGATGATCACATAAGACTTATTCTCATGAACCTTTGCATCTTCTTGCCAATATCCATCAACGCCCGGTGAAGCCAGACCGACGTATGCAGATTTTGCTGGAATAACTTTGTCGCTTAGGTACCTAAGCATGAAAGAAATACATAAATATCAAGAAACCAACACAATAAGAATCAAATTTTTATGTTAAATAAACACATAATAAGGTTAGATTAGTAGTCAATATAAATATCACATTAGTGTTTAATGAAACCAACTCTGTTTGGTTTGTGTAATATTTGACATAAACTAATAAAAAATTAGATTCAGAAAACTAAATCACCTGTCACGTATTAACAGTCGTCCTGTAACTGTACCACGTTGACTAGCACTTGGATAGTCTTCTGACTTGAGAAAGTCATAAGGCCAGCTGCTACTTTCTACAGTCATCTAATGAAAATTTATGGTAAAAACTGTCATCATAAATAATTTCTTAATAATTATCCAATACAATGGTAATTAAATTAATCACCTGTCTTTTAACATCATTCCAAAGAGGTTGTGGGTCAGTGCCAAGATCAGAATTAAGATAAATAAAAACTGGTCCAAAGACCTTTTTCCAAGATTCACCGTTTCTCAAGCTAACGCCATAGTTGTCGCCAGCATAATGCCCGCTAAAAAACATCTGAAGATCAAATGTAATCAAAATAACTTGTAATTGCATGTCCATGATTTTTTTTAATAAACTCAAGTTCAATGTGTTACTCTTATTAATGTAAGTACTAGTGATCAGTTACATACCGACAAGGCAGTTGGACCGACATGAGAAGTGAGATCTTGTCTTATTGGGCCTCCAGAGCGAAACTCGTTGGAACCGGTGATGATCCAAAATCCAACATGTGGTTTGGGACAAATCCATCCATGCACTTTAATATCCTTGTTTTCTAACGCGTATTGGTATTTATCATCCACCTATATCAATATTGAACAAACTAATTAAATTTGAAAAAAAGATTAATTGGTAATAATTACTTTATGTGTGTGTTTGTGTACCTCTCCCTTCATAGTAGGATTGGATGGATTGGTTAGTAAAACGGCTTCTTTATAATCGAGAATTTTTCCCTTACAACGATCATTGTCACTAGGCATTTCTCTTTGTATGTCATCTGATATTGCCATAAAGTTGAATCTATATATATGTATATAAAACCATATTAAAATAAATGAAGTTTAAAGAATGGAACAATAATAATAAATTCATTATAATTTTAGTATATATTTGTCATTGTAAGTTGGTAACTTACAATCTTCTTTGGAGCTTGATGGCAATACGAGCTTGGCCAAGGTCCACGCCAGGCCAACCTTGAAGATGTTCATAGATTGCATACGTGTAGAAGCCTGATTGGCCACACAACATTACGTACCTTTTATCTACGTTTAGAGAAAGACTGGAAGAATCTTTTGGATTATAAGTCTTTGTGAATGAAACTTCAATTTGGTTTTCATTTGATATGATTACTCTAAATTGTGTAGCTGGAAGCCTTCATTATCAATGATAATAAAAAAATTAGTAAAATCCCGTAAAAATGGAGAGGGCGTGTGTATGCAGATTTTGTCCTAGCTCGAAAGGAAATACTAAATAATTAACCTACTTTTGAGTTGTATTAAAGGTATAACTAATTAAGAGCTTACAACTCTGAGCGGCCATTGTTGTATTTTCCTGGCTTGTTCCAAACAAGATCCCAATACTTGTACATGATTAAAGTGTCATTGATGTTTGTCTATAAAATTTTATCAGAGTAAAATTATGTGTGGTTCAAACTCACAAACAAAAGAGAAAAATAGTATAGTGAGCCTGAAAGAAATTTCCAAGATTAGAATGAAATTAAAAAGTATATATGTTTCACAAAATATATACCCTCTATCTGTTTCTTTGAAATCATTTTCAAGCACATTATCAATTCCTTGGTATCGAATCCCTGCCATTCCTCCGGCTGGGTTCGTGAGTGTCAATGTGATCAAGCCATTGTCCATCACCACCTGAATGTACATTAAAAAACATAATTACTATAATTAAATAATTAAAGAGTTTAATTTAAACCTTCTTATTATCTTAAGGATATACTCCGTATAAATCATCATAGTATATATAATATATATATATATTTTCTAATGAATAAGCGCTAATGCAAGTATTTATTCAACTAACTTACATGTGTTTTTGTAATGGTAAGTGTCAATGGAGTAGATGCTTTTATCTCTTGAGTGTTATTTGTGACACTGCAATTTAAAATGGAATTGTTTATTTATATCAATGCATAAAATAAAATAAAAACTCATATTTATATCTATCAAGTTTGACCAGGGATAAACAGTCATCTAAATTCTAAAAGGAGAATTTTAGTAAATAGGACTAAAACATAATGATTTTCTCAATATAGAACCATATGTTTTTATTTCCCAATGTATGATCATTGGTCATTATTCATTAGTCATTATTTAAGTAAATATATTCACTATCACTGGACATTATTCCTCATATTAGACATTATTAAGTATTATTTAGAAAATAAAAAAATTAAGTCCAACATTGAGAAATGACTTATGTTTTAATCATATTTAATTTAGTTTAAATTTTACATTCTAATCGAAAAATAGGCAGTGGATGGAGAATAAAATCCTCAAATGACCACTTATTTTATGGAATTTTCTATTTAGTAATTTTAAAATATAATTTTTATTTTCAGATTGTTAACTTATTTTTTCAATTTATTGATTGAAACATAATCCTTAATTATTAATGCGGTAAAGAGAGATTAATATATGATGTGAAATGTTTATATTTTTGTTTGAAAATAATTTCTTAAAATATAAACTATTTAATTAAAATTGTTATTTTCCGATAAATAGGCATACATTAATGAGTTTATTGCATCGACACCCATTGTGGTTTGGTAAATGTGCATCATTACCCCTCGTGGTTTCAAACTTCAGTTGTTGTCCCTCATAATTCTGATATTGCTACGCCAATGCCCCTCTGGACAAAAATATTCTTCAAATATTATGTGAATAACTACGCAGCCCCTATAGTTTTGGAAATTGGCACCAACACCCCCTTTCATTTTTCTTTTTTGTTTTTCTTTTTTTTTCTTTTTTCATAAAGAGAAGAAAAATGTTTGTGGGTGAAATAATGATTTTTTTTCAAAACATTTTTAAAAAATTAGAAATAAAAACATGTTTTTGTTTGAAATAAAAAATGAAAGAAATTTAACATATACTTCATTTTTGTCTAAAAACGGTTTTATCTTTTTGAATATGTCGGGGCCAAATAAATATTGAGTAACATATTTTTATTATAAAATTAATTATATATTAATAACACTATTTGGACCAATGCGCAAAAGATTGTCTTCATGACTTAATTTCAATATTGTATAAAAGTATTTTTTTCATATACTTTTCTTTTTCTGTATTTTCTTTTCTACTCTTTTTTCTTTTATTCTAGTTTTGATTAAAATAAAGAAACATTATGAAATTAATGAACATAAAATGTGAAATGAGCTTTAGTAAAAAAACAAAATATTTCATTGTTTTTCATATTATGAAAATGAATCAATAAAGACATCTTTTGGAAAAAATGAAAATAATTAATTGGAGACAAATAAAATGTATGTTATTTAATTGTTTTTTATTGCAAACACAAAAAATTGATTATTATAATATTATAAAATAAATTTAAAAAAGAAATAAAAAACATTTATGAAAAAAATAGTAGAGAAAAGAAAAACAATAAAGAAAAAAGGGGGCATTTGTGCCAATTTACAAACTATAAAGGCAGTGGAGCTATTCACATAATATTTGAAGGATATTTTAGTGTAGAGACATTGGCGTAGCATTATCAGAATAATGAGGAACAACGGCGTAAGCTTAAATTTGAAACTATATGAAGTAACAATGTACATTTACCAAATTTCAGAGGGTTATATATGGTGCAATAAACTCATACACTAATTGTCAAAGCGATACATCAGCCAATGATAAAATTTAATTTTTAACTTGTAAAAGAACAGGTAAGTATAAAATAAGCCGATAGATAAATATTAATTGTCATATATATAAACACAATATTATAAAAAAGGAAAGAGGCATGCAAACAATATAATGGCGCTGGAATTAGAATAAAACTGAAACTACAATAATTTGAAAACTTCATTCCATATTCGGTATGTTCTTTGGCATTAATAAACAACTAACTCCTCCTTTTTTTATATGTATAATTGTTCATTTTCGTTCATTTTTATGTGTCAAACATTTTTGACCACCAATATATTACATAAAATACATTACCAAAAAAATAAGAATTGAAAAAATAATTGAATAAAAGTAATTTTTAGTACAAATATTATACTCCATCGGTCCTTCAAAATATTTCTATTTGAAAAAAGGGATTTTAAAAATATGCAATTTTGGGATTATTTTCTATCCAATGTACACATCCTATACTTACTCTTTTATAAAGTCAAATTTAAAATAACATCAAAATTATACATATTCACAACCGGGTTTTTTCAAACAAAAATGTTATGCATGGCGAAAGTAATATATGGTAAATTTTTATATTCTAATTCCTTGCATATTTTCATATATGACTAGTAAAAAGTCCAGTTTGACATCAGTGTTAGAGGTCAGCGTTTTCAAAAGGTTATCTGACGGTAGTCTAGCCTTTAGCTAACGCTATCAATTTCAGAATTAATCTATACCATTAAAATTTTATCTAAAATACTAACGCCAATCGAAAACGTTATTCCAAACAAGACCAAAGTATAGTATGAAAAACAAAAATAAACATATACTCCGTAAAAAAGAAGGGATAGATTGAAATTCTGCATATACCTATATACATGAAGCGAAGAAGAAAAGATCAACAAGCCGTGCAAGACAATAAAAACCCGCCACTGAGTATTATTTATTGGTCGCCCAAATTCCAACTTTGCCATCATGTCTCTCACACGTAGTTCACCAAATTCAATTCAACAACTATGACCTAAATAAATAAATAAGTAAATAAATAAATAAGACCTTTTAAATTACATACGGTAGAATAAATAAATAAGACCTTTTATATGGATGCGGAGACCGGAGTACGTATAATTTATAGGTTAGCAATATTCCTAATCCATGCAGGCATGAAGTATAATAATGGTAATTAATTATTATTATTACCAATTAATTGATTGATTATATATTGACTACCAAATCTTTGTTCTCGTGCGATAGTATATAGTACTACATTCCTAACTATTTGTCTCATTTTAATTTTATTTGGTTATAATTGTCAAACTTTAATGACAACTTAAATAAAAGTCATATTAGATAATATTGATACAAAAAATAATATTATTAGATTTATTTTATAAAATAATTTCAAAATAATATATACCTAATTAATATATTATATATTTTTATATTTTGTTTAATTACAGCTCAAAGGTTAAAATGATTGACTACAAAAACTCAAAATTAAAGAAATACTCAAAGACATAAATAGTTAATGAATTGCAAATTTGCAATGCACGCCTACATCAAAATTACTAAACGTAGAAAAATGGTGTAGAATTAAACATAGTTTTAAAAATTATGTTTGATTGTAGTTCTTTACAAATCATTTTATATGAAAAATAGTGTAGAATTAATTCAATTAAAAAATAAAAAATACATAATTAAAAACTACATCAGAATTAAAGATGTACGAAACTAGTTGTGACGTGATTGTATTATTTTATCAAATAACTAACAAAAAATAATAAAAAAAATAATGAAGTTTAACCCTGTAAATAGTAAACATGTAATTTAATTTGTGACGAATTGATTGCAAAAAGTGGGAACGAAAAGATCTTGGGGAGATTAAGCCTTAAGGGAGTATAAGGAAAGTCGGAAAGATATGAAATGAAGAGAGTACCCATTACACTTCATTTTTTAAAGGAGAGATAGGTAACTACAAAGTACTAACTAGGACAAAAGATACTAGTATCACTTTTATCTAGTTTTGACTTTATCCACTAATTTTATGTCATTAATATAAACCATAATTTTTAATAAATTAAAGACCGAAAGTTGATTTTCGTTGACTGCAAAAAGTAAAATTTATATATTTTTTCCAAATATGTACTCCCTCCGTCCCAAAAAGTTTGTTACGTTTAGAAAAAACTGTGTCCTGTAAAGTCCGTTACATTTCCATTAAAAAACTACTTTTACCCCTTATTTTTTCATACCCTACCTATCACATCATACCTTTTTCCTAATAATCTACCCATCACATTTTACTTTTACCCATCACATCAAGGGTATTTTTAGAAAGTCAATACCAAAATATCTCTCACTTAATTTCCCAAAAAGTCAAACCGTCCCATTCTTTTGGGACGAAGGGAGTATATATGTTTTCGTTTTTAGCTATGTTTTAGCACTATTCAATCTTTTTTCTCTATTTTTACCACATACACCACGAAGTACGTACGTACAATTACAAATATTCCGTATAAAAAAACTAAATATCTACTTTATCTTACATTAAAAAAAGAATATATGTTAAGCCAATAAAAAAACAAAAAAAAAAAATACATATAAGAGGAATGGATTATATATATCTCTAAAACCAAAAAAAATAAAAGATTACTTAGAGGTGGTTTAATTTTAACATAATCCCAGAACTAATTTAATTTTTCCCTCTTTCAACATTTTTATTATTAGTTGAATAATTATTATGATTATTATTGGTATAATTAGAAGGCTGCTGCTGCGGCGGCTGCGGGCGGCGGGGAAACTCAGAGAGCATCTGAACCACCTCTCTCATGGTGGGCCGCTCCACGCTGTTGTCCTGCACGCAAAGCATGGCGATGAAGAAGAGGTGCGCGGCTTCCTCCTTGGGGACGACGGCAAGTTTGGGGTCCAAAACGGCCGCCACCTCCTCCCGCCGCCCGCCCGCCGTCGCCACCCTGCTCCATTGCACTATGTCCACCCCCTCCCCGAAGTCCCCCACGGGGCGCCGCCCCGTGAGGAGTTCCAGCAGCACTACTCCGAAGCTGTACACGTCGCTCTTCTCGTCCACTCTCAGTGTGTACGCGTATTCTGTAATAATGGACATATAATTAGTTAAATAAAAATATCGTTCGAACAGTGACTTGAGAGAAGGTAAATGAAAATTGGAATGAGATTGCTCTCTGGTTTGGACAAAGATTTTATACGAAGCATAAACATTTGCGCTTCGTATAAAATCAATTAAAATTTCTTTGTTTTTTCTCTTTGACTTAAATTAAATATACAAAAATTGGATTAGTATTAAACTATAAAAAAACTAGAAAAATTATGCTCATGTTTACTATTTTGGTTTTTTGATAGTTTTTGTTTGTGAGTTGATTTTCATTAATACTTTGACAAAAAAATAGACATGCCACCATTTGATCTTGTGGAAACTTTTAAACCGTTTTCCAAATACCCCATGTAAGTTGTACAAGTATATTTTACCAAAACACTTCATCTTTCATTTTATTTTCCTTAACCAAAACATTTCTACTTTTTAGTAAAAAATTATTTTTAGTCATATTTTTTCTTACCATAGCTATAACATCATACTTTTTCATTAATAATTTATCCATCACATCTAACTTTTACTTTCACATTAGTGGCATAATTGAAAAACTCAACCATAAATATACACTCCTTATTTCTCTTAAAAGTCAAAATATGAACAATTTTATGAGACGGAAGAAATATATATCACTCTATAAATAAAATTTTACTACTTTCTTCACAAAATAGATGCCCTTTTCGATCATTATTACGACCTTTTGATAATATTTATTTGTATATATGTTTTCATTTACAATTTATTAAGATAAAATAATACTGTCATCTCCTATCTTGTAGAAATTATGATGTACTTTTGAACAATATAATCTAAAATTTTATTTCTATACAAATTTATAACTAAAAATAATTTTTAGAATGATGATATTTTAATTTTTTTTTAGAGAGCAACATCCATTGACAAGAGTATGTATTAGAAAAGATAAAATTTTTAAATAGTTCGTATCATTCAAAATAGGATGATAATTTGGAAAGAAAGGTTAAAATTGTAATTTAAAAAAAAAAGGAAGAGGGAACAAATTTATAAACAGTGCTTGGAAGGAGGCAAAAGAAGGTGGGGAGACAAAGGTATATATGCACACGCAGGAAAGAGAGCGGAGGTGGGGCCCAAATGTTTTAGTGGGGAGGGCTGACGGTGGAACGGCGTGCATAGACCGGGCCGCCCAGGTCAGTGCCTCGGATCCAGTTATTGAGATTGACCCGTCATCTATTATTGCCCTTCGGTCCCACCCAATAACATTTGGCTGATTCATTTTCAATTTATTTTGTTCGTTTCTTTTAAATTTAATCTTATTATTTAAATTTTCACCATCTCTAATTTAATACTCCCTCCGTCCCGGAGTATTAATCCAATTTTGACTTTTTAAATTATTCATATAAGCACTTTGATTCATCAAATCCTCTTAATGTGTAAGCCTAAATATAGTCATGTGTGATCTTGTTTGATTTGTCTTAACATATAGATTATTAATATATAATTTCTATAATTTTTTAATATACAAATTACAAGATAAAATAGATTAAAGAAGTGTGTTGGATGGTGTGTAAAAATGAAAGTGGACAAATACTCTGGGACGGAGGTAGAACTCTGTAATTACTAATATCAACATTTACATAGATAATCTTTATTTAACTTTAGTATTTCAAAATTAAATTTAAAAAAAATTATTAATATTACATTTATATCAAAACAGAATATATTTTAACACTAAACAATGATGTACAATATGTTTTTTTTCCAATTTAGTACGGAGTACCACTCTTTAATATCTACTGATCATTTTTTAAGTAAATATCCATAGGCACTAGACATTGTTTAAATTTAATGTCTATCATTACTGTACATTTTTCCCACCACTAGACATTATTCACCTTTTATATTTAGAAAATAAAAAAGTTGAAGTACTACATTAAGAATGAATATATGTTTTAATACTATTTAATACGAGTATTAATTTTACTTTATACCTATTGAGGTCAATGTTTATAAACTTCAACCAAGAAAAATCAAATGATAAAATTAAATTCGAATGGAGGTATTATTTCAATAGAAACAAAAATTTAAAATAAAATTATATAGTAAACTCTCCATTTTATCTGCCCGTTGGAATGGATGGAGTAAAAAATTACATCAAATTAATTATCTACAACACAAAAGTGACACAACTAAGTTATTTTAACAATTTATTATCGAAAATTAAACAAGTAAAAAAATTGATTTGTAAATAATGGAGTGAAACGATTAATGCAAGACACATATAAAACTAATATTATCTCGGATATCAAAATCTAAATATATTTTAAACTAGATTTAGGTACAATTTAGTTAATCTTAATTTTTTTGTTTACATGATTTTTTTAAAAAATTGAGTTGTTACATATTATTAATTTTAATAAATTAAAATTGTACATTGCATATTAAAAAAAGTTTCACATGCAACAAATACATGAAATAAAATTATTATTTATTAAAAAATTACGTGAACATTTATTTATTTATATATTTTCATAAATTATTTGATTAAATAAAATATTTTTATAAATAAGAAATTTACAACTTATAAATAGGTGTTTTCATTAGTTTTGAGTACGCAAGTCAATGCAATTAACAAAATGGAGAAGAGAACGCAACATGCAATTCATGCAGAGAGTTTTGAAAGACAAAAAAGAGTACGTACCAGGGGCGATGTAGCCATAGGAGCCGGCGATCGCCGACATGCACTGGGAGGCGCCGCCGCCGTCCACCAAGAACTTCGCCAGCCCGAAGTCGGCGACGTGGGCTTCGTAGTTGGAATCCAGAAGAATGTTGTTCGATTTCACGTCTCTGTGCACGATCAACGGCGAGCAGTCGTGGTGGAGATAGCACAGCCCCTTCGCCGATTCCACCGCGATCTTGTACCTCTGGTTCCAGCTCATCATCATCCCGCCGCCGCATTTTTTCCCGCCGCCGCCGTGAAGCGCTTCGCCCAAGCTCCCGTTCTTCATGTACTCGTAGACGAGCAGGTTGGTGTCTCTGTTGTTGGAACAGAACGCCAGTAGCCGGACTATGTTCCGGTGCCGGATGTTCCCCAGCGTCTCGATCTCCGCCCGGAATCCGTGGTCGTTCTTGGATTTCCGGTTGAATCCGGCAAGTTTTTTCACGGCGATTTCCGACCCGTTCCCGGTTTTCCCGTGGTAGACCACCCCTGCTCCTCCTTTCCCGATCACGTTCCCGTCTCTGACGCAGTCCACCACTTCCTCCGCCGTGAAATCCACCTTCTGGAATGAGGTCAGTTTCCAGGACCCGCCGGAGGCGGTTTTCTGGAAAGACCTGGCCTTTATTATGGCCGCCGTCGCGAAAGCCAGGGAGCAGAGCAAGAGGCCCACGGCGAATACGAGCTTGAAGTCGGCTGCAAGGGAGTTTCCGGGCTGGGAGGACACGACGGCGAAATTGCAGGTGTTGTTGAGTAACGGCCCGCAGACGCGCGGGTTGCCGGCGAATGACGTGGCGTTGAAGATCCCGGATTCCGGCAGCTTCCCGGAAAGATCGTTGAAGGAGAAATCAGCCGCGGTTAGGCTCCTCATTGCCCCGACGGACTTAGGGAAGTCGCCGGTCAGGTGGTTCCTCGACAAATTGAGGTAATTCAATATCCGAATTTCGGAAATCTGGGTCGGGATTGGCCCGGAAAGATTGTTCTGGCTTAAATCCAAGTATGTGAGATGAAAGCAGTTCCCGATCTCGCCGGGGATTTCTCCGGACAGAGAATTCCCACTCAGGTCAATCTTCAGAGCCTGCCGGAGCTCACCCACGGACGCCGGAATGGGACCGGAGAAATTATTCTGGCCGAGGAGGAGAATCTGAAGGGAAGTGAAATTGGATAGTGACACCGGCAAAGAACCAGAAATCTTATTATTAGAAAGATTCAATCTTCCCAAAGAAACCGGCTTCGAAGATACACCCCTGTTTTCCGGCAAAGCTCCGGTCAACAGATTATTCTGAAGCTCAACTAAATTCAACTCCGGCAAGTAAAGAAACCCCTCCGGGATACTCCCATTCAAGTAATTATCTCCCAATCTCACCCTCACAAGACTAGAACACGAGCCCAGATCTTCCGGGACCGGCCCGAACAAGAAATTCTTCAACAGAATCAGCACTCTCAGCCGCCTAGACGAGCAGAGGTTCTCCGGGATGGTCCCGGTCAGCTTGTTCGACGACAAATCGAGTTCCCGGAGCTTCTGGTTCCGGCCCAGGCTCCGGGGAACAACTCCGGTGAAGTTGTTCTTCCATAGCCCGAGCACCCGGAGCTCTGGGAACCCGGAAATGAAATCTGGGATCGATCCGTGGAGCCGGTTCATGAAGAGGTTAAGGAGATGGAGATTCTTGAAGCTTCTGAACTCAGGTGGGATTTCCCCAGTCAAAGAATTGTCTGAAAGATCAAGAGACTGTAAAGCAGAGAGGTTCCCAAGCTCTCTTGGGATGGAACCAGAGAGGAGATTAATGTGGAGAAACAGAGTGTCAAGATTCTTGAGATTCCCTAATTGGGAAGGAATCTCTCCATCCAATCCACAGCTTGACATGTCCAAGTGAAGAAGATTCTCCATCTTCCCAAACTCCATTGGAATCCCACCTTCATAGACATTGTAGTACCCCAAGTACAACTCCTTCAAGCTTGTGAGATTCCCAAGTTCTTGGGGAATCTTCCCATGGAGGTCATTCCCAGCAAGTGACAAGTACTCTAGACCAGCCAAATCCCCATACCCTTTTGGGATTTCACCATAGAAGAAATTCCCACCCAAATCCAAATGCCTCAACTTTTTTAACCCCAAAATGCCCTTAACAGGCAAGAGAGCTGTGAAGTTGTTGTTGTAGGCATCAAGAACTTGGAGACTCTCAAAAGAGGAGAAATTCCAATCAAGCCCCCCACTGAACATGTTGTTGGATATGTTCAGAAATCTCAGCCCCTTCATCCCATTCCCAATCTTGATTTCCCCTGTGAAGTTATTCCCGTCGAGCCTAAGCTCTGACAGCCCGTCCATGCCAGATATTTCGGGCGGGACGGGCCCGGTCAAACCCAAGCCCGACAGGTTGACCGAAACGACGCGCCCGCGGGCGCATTCGATTCCTACCCAAGAACAGACCGAGCTCCGATTCGAAGTGTCCCAAGATTCCAACACTGGGTTTGGCAAAGAAGAAGAAGAAGACGAGAAGTCTTTCTTCATAGACGCCAAGGCGTGGAAGTCAGTGACCAAAGAAGAAGAAGAAGAAGAAGAGATAAGTGTGAAGAGGGTGGTGAAAGCAAGAATGATACAAGTCTCCATGATTGACTTTAGTTTTTCTCCTTTACTTGTTTGTTTGGAAGGATTTGAAGAGTTGGAGAAGAGGTTTTATTATGGGGATTTGGACTGTAAAGAGAGTCTAGCTTCAAGTTCAAGGAAGTGAAGAAGAAATATAGCTTTTACTTTTGGGATGAGCTTTTCTTTATGTGAAGAAGAAGAAGAAGAACAGATAATAGACATTATATATATGGTTTATATGAAATGTGTGAAGCTATTGGAGATTAAAGAGTGTTAAAGAGGACGGAAAAAATAAAGAAGGAAAGCAAAGTGGTCTCTCCCAATGCATCCATTGGATAAAAGAGATGCTCAAAGTTTTGGGTTTAAATGAAAGGGGAAATTAAAGCAGAAAAGTGCAAACTTATGTTTCACACTCTTCCCTATGTTGACCCAAATACCCTTTACTTTTTTAATAGGAAAATATAAACTGCCCCTATCTCCGATCCCAAAGTATTTTAAAATTTTACTCCGTATTTACTTGGAGTCTTTAATTTTGAGAATATTTTACAAGATAAATCTGATTAAATTATTTTTAGATCAATTTTTAATATAAATTCTATTTAATTAATAGCCAAAATTTATGAATTTTGATTACAAAAACTTAATTAAAAACCTCACAAAATGAAATAATGTTACGAAGTACTCATAAAATAATGTTACTTCCTCCATCCCAAATTATTTGCAACGTTTACTTTTTCAGCTTTGCGGGAACTTTTGTTTATTTTTTCGTTTTTATTGGTTATTTGATAAAATAAAATATTCTTGACACCTCTTATTTTGAGGTACTTTTATGTAGTTTTTTTTATATTAAAATTTTATTTTTTATTTCTATACCAATATGTAAATAAAATGAATTAAAAAAATGTGATATTTTGCTTTGGGAATACAAGTGTGGCAAATATTTAGAGACGGAGGAAGTATTCTTTTCCCACTCTTGACATAAATTGGAGCTGCAATAATAGTGCATGAGACATATGATTGCAAGACACATGTATGAGTGGGTTGTAAACAAAAATGATGATTACATCATTAATATATGCATGGATCATTAACACACACACAATTGTTTCTCTCTTTTTTTTTTGAGAAACTAAATGATCAATGTATAATTGTACTTGCAGTGTGTATAGGTAATTGCAGAGAAGACTAAAGGCAATCACATTACATCAGAGAAGTTTCTTTTTCTTTTCTGTCCTTTTCTTTTTTTTTTCTCTTTAAATTGCCTTTGATATATCTCTATCTTTAGTTGCTTTTTTTTCTCTTTAATTTGGCATTAAACTTTATTCATTCCAATCTTTAGTGGCCTCCATGATATATACATACATACATATATACATACATACACACACATATGTGTGTGTGCCTTTGATCTCCCAACATCAATGGGACCATTTCTCTATGTGTGTTTTTGAGCTTTATTAGCTGAAGTGGAAGTTGGAATAGTCCTAAAGAGAGGGCTGAAAAGCAAAAGCTATTAGGTTGATAAAATACTCTCTATCATGTTGTTATTAATTACTCTCAATTTATATTACTATCTTTGTCTTAGTATTTTTTTTTCAAGTTGAATCAAATACTCCCTCCGTCCCTGAGTATTTGTCCACTTTCATTTTTGCACACCATCTAATGCACTTCTTTAATCCATTTTATTTTGTAATTTGTATATTAAAAAATTATAAAAATTATATATTAATAATCTATATGTTAAGACGAATCAAACAAGATCACACATGACTACTTCTAGGCTTACACATTGAGAGAATTTGATGAGTCAAAGTGCTTAGATGAACAGTTCCAAAAGTCAAAAGTGGACAAACACTCATGGACGGACCAAGTATGTCAAATAAAATAAAATTTTAAAAGTTCTCAACCTGATAAATCTAATACAAACATTTTTATATTAAAACACATATATTATAATTTCTGTTTAAATGAAATTCAAAGTTAAAACTGTTTAATTTAAAAAATTAAAGTAAACAATTTGAATGACTCTCAATTTAATTTAATTGGGTTTTGATCCATCTACTTGGAAAAAAGAAAAAGAAAAAGAAAGCACAATCCAATTTACTCCGTAAAATATTAACTCCATAAAAGGAAAAGGTAACCTTCTCTCTTTCACTACCAAAACAGTGCCATTGAACGTACTGTTTTTTGTTTGGAATATATTCTTGGGATCACTACCCTTTTTTGTGTGTAGGTCTACTATACTGCCTATAAACACTTTTTTTTGTTGAAGGTTATGATAAGTGATTAGAGTTTTATGTTTAAATCATTTATGAATTATATAAAGGGTAAAATATGCTTTTTAGTCCGGTTGAAATGAATGATTTTTGTTTTTAGTCTTTGTAAAATATTTTTTTTTGAATCGACGGAATATTTGATTTTGCAAATACTCCTTTCACCATTTATTTTAACTTAAGTGTTAACATTGAATTTGTTTTTATTCCCTAAAAAATTAGCGATTTTTTGTTTTTGTCCCTGTGAAATGTTTCAAATTCAAAACTGTTTGTTTTTTGTCCCTTTAAAACCTAACAAATTACTCACTCCGTCCTGTTTTAAATCGCTCGTTTTGACTTTTAGGCATATTTAAGAAAAAATAAAAAAATAGAATTGATTTTTTAAAATTGCCATTATTTTTTAGAAGGGTTGACGATGAATAAGAAAGATAATGTGGTGAAAAGTGACTAATTTTAGGAGTAGTTTAGGTATTTTACTTTTAAAAGTTTATGAAAACAAGTAACATGCAACTTATTTTGGGACAGAAAAAAAGCAAACATGCAATTTAAAATGGAACAGAGGGATTAACTCTAAGTTGATGGGAGGACCATTTGCAGAAACAAATACTCCGAATTTTACAAGGATGATTTGATAATAAAAAATTTAGAGGAGCTAAAAGTAACAAGCACTCATTTCAAAGGGACCAAGAACATATAATTAACCCTTATACTCCTATAAAATTTGGTGTTAAAAATTTATTCGTACATAACAACTTTTACAAAATACGGTGCAAGTTATAATGAAGACATACTTCTTTTTATCAAATACATCCTTGGTCTTAGAACTATTATCCGGCCCATTTATTATTTACTATGTCAAATTTGATCTACTATGTTAGAATATATATTTTTATTACTTACTACGTATTTGAAATATATATAGTCATGTCATATTTAGCTTTGTAGATTTTTTGATATTTTTAGATATACAAACTTTATTTTAAAATTTTATACTAATTTTCTTATTAAATTGAATGAAAGTAACTTTAATCAATATAAAAAAACGCAACATGAAGATATTTTTAGAACAGAGAAAGTTATAATAGAAATATAAGTAAAGGTGCAGTGGTGACTCAAATTTTAATTTTTTCACTATATACCTCTATTCAAGTTCATTTATCTTTTTGCCAACTTGTGATGGAAAAAGATTTAAGTAAGATTAAAATATTGAAAAAATAGCAAAATAAGAGTTTCATATTTTACTTCCGAAATACTCCGTATGAGTTAGAATGTATTTATATTGCCATTAATGAGCATGTACATTACGTACATGTTTTTTGAAATCTACTGGGGCAAGTCTCACTAATGCCAATACAATGTTTCCTCCAGTATTTTACTCGCTCCGTCCACAAATAAACTTACATTACGCGTTATGATGCTTGACTGAAGTTATTTTCAAATCATTTTGAGTAAATTCCATAATTGATCCTTTATAACAGGGGGGTTTCCATATTTAGTCCTTTATTATCAAATATTACTCCCGTAGTCCTTTTTTTAAGGGTACCTTTCCACAAATAGTCCTTTTTTTGATCTTCTGCTGTGTTGGTATTAATTTAAAGGCTAAAAGTATAATTTGACATCAACATTATGTCTAGTGACGTGTTCTGATATTGGTTAAGCGGATAATACAAAAATAATGACTATGATTGTAGGCTAGAATTCTGACGAAAGATCACATTTGTAGACTATCGTTGTCGTAAAAAGCGACTCTAATTCACAAACGACGCAAACGGAATAGCCTTTGGAATTGTGTATGACAAAAAAAATATATTATCATTGTGAAATTACACTTTTAGACCTCAAACTAACACCAACATGATAGAAGATCAAAAAAAGGACTATTTGTGGAAAGGTACTCATAAAAGAAGAACCACTGGGGTAATATTTGATAATAGAGGACTAAATAGGGAAACCCCCCTGTTATAAAGGACCAATTATAGAATTTACTCAATCATTTTATATGAAAAATGGTGTAAAATTGAAAAATAAAAATTACATATCAAAAAACTATATCAAAAGATCTACAAAACTAGAAGTGACATGACTATATTATTTTATCAAATGAGTGACGAAAATAGGCCAACAAAGTAAATAAAATTTGACCCTGTGAATAGTGAACGTAAAGTTTATTTGTGAACGAAGAGAGTAATTGTTTTTCTTTCATCTCAATTGTGTCTTTCCAATCTCATACTCCCTCCGTCCCAAAATATTCACAACATTTGCTTTTTCAGCAGTGTCGGAAACTTTTGTTTATTTCGATGTTTTCATTGATTATTTGATAAAATAAAATATTCTTGACACCTCTTATTTTGAAGAACTTTTCATGTAGTTTTTTTATATGTAATTTTTATTTTTTATTTCTTTATCAATATGTAAATAAAATGAATTGAAAAAACTTGATATTTTACCTCGGTAACACAAATGTGGCAAATAATTTGGAACAAAGGTAATAATAATATTGTAATTGGATCTAAATTAATCTGATCTGATAGTAGTCTATATTTAATCTTTGAATCTGATCTTTTTTTCTAGGAATATTTGATACATCTGCTAGGGCTGGGTTGAGAAAACCGAAAACCGAAAACCGAACCGAAATCGATCGAAACGAACTAGAAAAAAAACCGAACCGAAAAAACTGAAACCGAATGTAAAAAAACCGAACTGAACCGCAAGTGTTTGGTTCCGTTTTGGTTTTCACTTTGCAAAACCGAACCGAACCGAATAAACCGAACTTTCTTAGATACTTTGTTTTATTTATATGAATATACGTGATATATAGAAAAATAATAGAAATATAAATACAAATAAATTACTAGTGGATTAAAATTATTTTCTTAACTATTAATTAAACATTCTAGCCATATTGTTATATATTGTTCGTAATGGATTTTACATACGATGTCTTTGGAAGTAATTAAAATCTTCTAAATCTTTGTTGGGCACTCAATACATATTTTTTTATGTAAAATTGAACCGAAAGGAACAATAACCTTCCTTTCGGTTTTTTGTTTGTGTAAAAATCAAACAAAAAACCAAAGTTAACACTACATATTGTTATTATTTCATCAAGTTAGTGTTTTTACATTTTTTAATGCTTATAAATTTCTACATTCAAAAACCGAAAAAACCGAAAAAAACCGAAATAAAAACCGTACAAAACCGAACCGAATAACCAACGGTTTACATATTTTTTAGGCAAAACCGAACCGAACCGAACCGCTAATTTCCCTTCCGTTTTGTCTTTGGTTTTGGGTGAAAACCGAACCGCCAAAACCGAACCCACCCCTAACATCTGCACATCTCTGATCTCTACCAAACTGAGCACTCATGTCTGATGTAAGTGGTAAAACATGCATGCATGATTATGTTGCCATATCATCATCATCATCATCAATCACCCATCATCATCATCATGATCACCAATGTATGGGTGCATCAGATCATACTTATGTCAGATGACAAGATCAACAATAATTACATGTCATTGCTTACATATGTATCTATCAATCTATCACTACTCTTATGACTTTGGAGAAAGCAAACTTCCACAATCATCCATTCCATCATCACTACATAAACTGGCATGGCATACATATATGGCATGGACAAACTCTTTTTTCTGCACATCCATTAACTCTCTATCATGTATCTAGAACACTTGTTTCCTTTCAACTTATTTGTTCTAATTTGACTTTTATGATAATTGTGCCTATAATATATTCCATCCCTCGTTAACAGTATGTTTGGTTCAAGGAATTTGAAACGAAAAAAAATTCAAAAGAAAAAGAAAGGAAAAATGGAAGGAAAAGAAAATGAGAAGGAAAAATGTACTAATTGGATGAGAAACCAAATTCCTTCCATTTTGGTCAGGAAAAAAAAGAGAGAAAATCATTTTCATTTATTTTCCTTTCAAATTCCTTGAACCAAATATAGTGTAAAAGATCTTTTCCTTTTAATTTTTTTGTTATCTCCAAAAGATGTTTCCTTATCTATTAAAAAATTACATTTACCCATTACTTTTTCATATCCTACCTATCACATTATATTTTTTTTACTAATAATCTTCACATAACATCTTACTTTTGCCTATCACATCAAAATTATTTTTGAAAAGTCAACACAAAAATATTTCTCTTTTAAATTTTATACAAAGAATGCTAGAGTTACACAAAAAATGTTATCCCATTTATACACCAACATGCTCCCCATCATACATTTTTGGATGTAGATATGAAGAGAGAGAAATTAATAAAAATATGTATGGTGATGAACGTGGTGATGTTTTACAAATGAGATAGACTTTTGATGTACCAATATCATGTTTGATTTATTTCTAAATTTATGATCTTTTTTTTTTTGAAAGCCCTACATTTATGATCTCTTTAATTTGAAAGTTGAAACCAAGTAAATTGGTGCATGTGATGGCGACAAGGTAAGAAGTAAAAATAAATGGACGGGCCTGGTCAAATAATGGGCTTTATATATTCCGCTTAGCATGGGTAAGCAATTTTTTTCTAGCCTGTGTAAATATAATCCATCCATAAATTTTTTTTGTTTTTTGGCATGTTTCTTTAAAAAAAATTCAAATTTACATTTCTCCACTTTTTCTTTAATTTTAAAAACAAATATAGAAATCATCCTAAATAGGACTAAAACATAGATAAAAGTATCAAAATAGGACTTTCATGTTTTTTTTCCCGAAATAGGACTTTGCATTGTGGTAATGTGACCTTGCATTGTGGTAATGTGGCAGTGTACATGTGCAAATTACTATGTTTTTTGGTAATGTATATGACCATGGTTCGTAATGTAAGTCCTATTTTGGGAATTAAAACATGGAAGTCCCATTTTGGTATATTTTCAAACTTTTAGTCCTATTTGGGTCTTTCTCCCAAACAAATATGTGATCTCATTAATTCTTCTCCTTTTAAATAAATTTGTACTACATACTCCGTACTTTTTTTTACTTTCATTATTTTTTCAGCAATTTTCTTAATTTACGTGAAGTCATAGTGTTAGATTCTTTCAAAGATGCATGAGAAGTATATACTTCTCGTGCAGATGTATGCATATTCTTTGTTATGAGGGAAAAATATGAAAAGTTAGAGACACGCCACTTTTCAGTTAACTATTTTCAAATTTTAACTTATAATTAAATAAAATATATATTTTATTTTAATTAGATAAAATAATATTTTAAAAATATTTCATATAATAAATCTAATAAAACTATTTTCGTATCAATATCTAATATCATTTTTATTTAATTTTAGGTCAAATTTTATTAATTTTGACAAAAAAAAGTAAAAAATGGACAAATACTCATAAACCGAGGGAGTAATATATAAAAAAGCAAGATCACAACGGATGAGGCCAATGAAAAGTCGTTCAGCTGAAGAAATTAAGTCATGTGTAAAGAAATTGGTGCTCTAGAGTTGAATGGCACATGAAAAGTTGTTGCTGCAGCAAATTCATAAGAAGCGCCCTTGAGAAGCATACATGCAATAAAATGAAATGGAAGTTTGATTAAAGTATTGAATGACACAAAGCTCGTTTGGTAGTGTGTAATTATATCAAGTTAGATTTTGATTACCAAGAAATTTTTGTTCCAGTTGTCTTAACAACTATAATGACTTTGTTGGTAGTAGTAGCTGCTCGATCATTGGAGCTTTTTAAGTTAACTAATTATGCAAAAACATGCATCTTTTCATTCGTCATTTACAAGGTTTGTTGCGGAAGACGCTAACATTACGATATGAGAAGGACAATTGATCATAAAACGAGTGGACGAAACTAGACATGCCTATTTCGTCGCGACCTTTCTGCTATTAACAGATCAAAAATTTGGCAAATTTGCCGTGAGTACAAAATTATCAACCACTATTTAAAAACCTCTGTCGAACAAATATATAGATTCCTATACATTGCAAATCCAAGTAATTAAAAAAGTTTAGATTTACCATATCTTTTTATGACTTTCAATGAGGTTTATGAGTTTACATCAATCTCGCTCATAATTAAATTGTGTTGTTTTTTGTATTTACATATAATAACAACAACAACAATAATAATAATAACAATAATAATACTATTATTACTATACTGATCATTATAATTTTTCAAAATATTTAAAGTTGAAACGAGATGAATGTTATTGTATGGTACTTTTTTTGTTGTTGGTGGAAGTAAGACTACAATTGAATGATAAAAAATTTGAATACTATCAGTATCAATTTAAAACGGTTATTATTTACATACATATATATGAATGGTAAACAAATATGAATTCAGTAATCATACCTACATTTATAATCTACTATGCATAGATATTCGCTTACTTAACTGTTTAACCCTGTATCTGATCTGTTTTATGTAGTTTTCCCCAAATTTTTATTTTTATATTTTGTTATTCTATTGTCATCTCAAAGTAAATGACATCTATATATCTAAAATATATGTATAGGCACACAAATAAGTTGGTATGTGTAATAGAACAGATATATTTACGTTGAGTAGCATAGACTATAAGAAAAATACTACTCCGTAACAAATTATAATCGAACAGATATATTAAAAGTATGTATGTACTATATAGTTTAGTTTGACTTTAAAAATTCAAAAACAGACGCAAATATATCTAAAAATATGACGGATACAAATACGATTTTGACTTTTAGCATCTGTCAAAATTCGTATTCAAAATCGATATTTGATAAAAATAAATGGATGGGATTAGGTAATGACAGTATGACACATTCGATCCTACTAACATCCATTTAGAATCCAAGATATGGAAGGTACTCACATTTTAAAAAAAAAAATAACTCTATTATAATTTGGTATATATAATAAAAGTTGATCGCGAATTTAAATATAATTAAATCAATAAATTATTCTTCAAAAAAGAAATAAGTAAATTAATACCTATTGGGATTTTGGAAAAGAGTATTAAAACAGATAGAAATCTTAATAAACTAAATTAATGGGAAAAGAAAATTTTTTTTAAATAAAATTAAAAGATTTGCGTCTGCCGGGAGTCGAACCCGGGTCTATTGCTTGGAAGGCAATTATCCTAACCGTTGGACTACAGACGCTAGGTGTTAGAAAATCGAAATCAAGCTTATATATAAATTAAAGTTCATGTTTATCCCCAGAGTTTTTTAAAATAACAACTGTTTTGAAGCACTAATTAATCTAATTAGAATGGGACCATGCTACATTTACACCAAAAATTATACCCCATTTCTACATCGTAGTTATACATAAATATTTTGATGCTTTACACAGACACAAATGTTGGTGCGCTAACAAAAAATTACACGGATACAAAGTGTTGGTGCGTTAAAAAAATTAATTTTACATCAAAATAAAATGTTGGAGCAAATCTGTAAGGTACAAAGTGGGGTACAAAAGGTTGGGGTACAAGTAGCTTTATCCAAAAATGTAGGATAAAACTACTTGTATCCAGTATCCCAACCTTTTGTACCCCACTTTGTACAAACTTAAAAGAGTGCTTGACGTGACGAAATTTTAAATACGTAATCAATTATATGCCCACGATTTTTTGTTATAAAGAGACATATTTTTATCATTTTTTTACCTATTTTTGTTAGTTATTTGACAATATAATATATTCTTGTCATCTCTTTTTTGTAAAAACTTTTGATATAGTTTTTGAATATATAAATATTATTTTTTAATTTTTACACATACGATGAAATAAATTAAATTAAAATAAAATTAGTCAAACTTATAAACAGAAATGAGAAGAGTAATTTTAAGATGGAGATCGTAGTCCATAGGGCAAATTATACTCCCTCCGTCCCTAAATAAAGTTCTTCTTTCGTTTTTTGTCTCTAAATAAACTTCTTTTTTCATTAAAAAACCTCTTTTACCCCTTATTTTTTCATACCCTACCTATCACATCATACCTTTTTACCAATAATCTATCTATCACATCTTACTTTTACACATCACATCAAGGGTATTTTTGGAAACTCAACACAAAAATATCCTTTTCTTAAATCCTCAAAAAGTCAAAAATGGAACTTTATTTAGGGACGGAGGGAGTATTATACATTCTGTTGTACCCAATTTTGGGTACAACCAAGAAACTATTTATGGTATAATTTTTAGTTTACATGAGAATGAACACTAAGTTATTTGAGAATGAATACTTTTTTTTCCAAAAAGAACACTACATTATTTGTAGAATAAATATTACAACTATATTGAACCAATATCCGAAAATGAGTATTACATTATTTTAAATCGAGTACTAAGCTAATTATATTTGTGCAAGAATGAGTACTATTCTACTTCAGTAGGACTACTAAACGGATGTACGGTATATCCGGTTGTACCATATAACTTCTTTAGTCCATATCACTATGCCACTATTATTTCACCCAAAGGAAAAAAAGATTTTGTCAACACTCCGTATCAAATAATGGTAGTATGTCCCTATATGGACTATATGCATGCCTATAATCTATATATACGGAGTATGAATTATGATGATTCTTAACTTAGTCAAAGCACTCCACCATATGAATTCCATTATTTCTCATTTCTTTAATATTCTTTTACTTGCATTACATAGTGATTCCTGCAACAAGGTATGTATCACCACATGGTTGGTCTAATATACACAATACTTCCTCAATCCCATTATTTTATTTCTTTTTATTTTTTTATTGGCTATACTCCAAAAAAAGGTTACACTTTAATTTGACTTGACAAAAGACTTGAGAAAAGAAAAAACGTGTAGTTTAAAGTAATGCAGAAGAGAGAAAAAGATTATGAGTCATTCAAATTTTAGAGTCTCTAGTGCACTATTTTGAGTATTAATATCCGTATTTATATATAAAAATAAATTTTGAAAATATAATATTTTAAAACTATATTTCAAAATATCATAATACGTATCTAGTGTCTACGTATGTACGTACGCATGTATGTATAGTATATGTATATATAGACTAATTAATAAGAGTCATAAGACACATGGAGATCCAACCTCAAAATAATTGGAATCTTAAAGAAAGGAAGAAGGAGAGAGAGAATTGAAGTATAGAGAAGTAAAAATGAGCAGCTATGTGAAGATGGAATCAACAAGTGGTGGGAAGATGAAGATCACGAAGAAGAAGAAGAAGAAATCATCAGGATCAATGGATTTGTCACATGTCCAAATCATTTTCCCCCACATCATCAACAACTCCCAACAATCCAACAATGATGATGATGATGGTGATGATGATGATCAAAGCAACATCAAGGCAAACATGATCGTCAAGAACGAAGAAGGCGGGAAGTTAAGTTCGGAGAGTCGTCGTTCAAACGCCGCCATGGGGCCGGAGATGTTGAGATTTGAGAAGAATGCAAACAGAAGGGTGAAAGGGGAGTTTTCCGCGAGAAGACATTCCACCTCCGAAAGGTACGTGCGGTGCATAAATAAAAAATATAAAATGATAAATGTATTAAAATAACAGTTCACGTTGTCATTCTCATACTATCACGCCACACTCACTCGAGTGCTGTCGTCGGAGCTCCGATGTGGGTCGTTGACCACCGTTGACCGGTGGTCAATGTTCACACTCACAACTTACAACAACAACAATAACCCAGTTGGATCCCACTACTCACACTCACAACTTACATTGCTTTATCGGTCTTATTTTGAAGAACATTTCTTTTATTAGTATTATTATTATTACACCCTCTGTTCCAAAATGGTTTCCCATATTATAATTTATTTAATGTAATTTTTGAATAATGTAATTCATAATTTTTATTTCTTCATCAATTTGTAATTAAAATAATTTTAAAAGTGATGGAAATTTATACATTGTTGTTCTAAGAGTGACATCCATTTTGAGATCATAATTTTTGTTGGATTAACATTAATTTGTCGAACTTTTTGGCAGGTATTGTCGGGTTCACGACCAGAACGATCATGTGCCCCTGTCATTGGAAGAAGGTGTGCAAGGTGAAGAAGATGAGGAAGAGGAGTCATGGAGGAGGAAGACAAATAATAAAACCAGTCACAGGAAGTTTCTAAATGTCTGCAAACGTCTTTTGAGATTTTAGTCTTTCAATGCGTCTCACAATAATGTTTCTATTTGATTTTTTTTCAACTTTGTAAGACATATTGATTGTTATGTTTATTTGTTTAGTTCTACTTTTTAAGTTAAACATCATGAACTTTAAAACTTTAATTGTATTACTATATATTACTCCCTTCGTCCGGAAATATTCTTCCCATTTGACTTTTCTTAGTCAAAGTTTGTAAACTTTGACTAAGATATGTGGAAAAAATACATTGTATTAGGATATAACTTTAATATAAATATATTCATTTTGAAATATAGTTTTCAAATATCAAATTTTTATAAAATCTATCCATGTATAAATAAAGATATTAGCGGTCAAAGTGTAATCTTGGAGACCGTAAAAAGTCAAATGAGAAGAAAATTTCCGGACAGAAGGAGTAGTATTAAATTGAATTTTTTTTTGTTGAGAATTTTTAAATTTCTATTCGTTATAAAAATATAACAATACAAAATGAAAATAATTGAAACTTAAAACTTACTCAATTTGATTAAAAAAAAATCAAACTGGATAAATATAACAAGACAAAAATAATACTTTCTCATAAACATTAGATATTTCAAAATTATATTTTCAAGACAATGCAGATGATACCTTATTACTCTTTCGTTAACATTCAATATATTCTTTGCAAATTTTTTGATAAAAAAGGTTCAATAATGATTCCGAAAAATCAATAAAAACATTTTCTGAAGTGGTAAGAAGCATTGTGTATTAACTCATGCAGGTAACTAACGTAGCCAAAATATAATAATTTAAGGGACAAATGTGTTGATTTCATAAACTCAGGTAAAAATCATCACATAATGAGACAAATGGAGTAGACAAATGATCTATTAAGAGCAACTAATAACAACACCTCTATATATATCTCTCTCTATTCAGTTCATCTCCCTTCAACAACCCCAGATATAAATAAGTTTTTTTTTTCAAAATTCAGAAGCTGAAAAGAGAATTATGGCATGAAAAAGAATGTCTGGGACGCACGCCGTCTTACTTGCTATCGGTGAAATCTGCATCAATGACATCACCATTGCTTCCGTTCTCAGATGGGCCGCCGGGTGGTGGTGGTGGTGGTGGGGAACCAGCACCAGGGGTTGAGCCGGGCTGGTTATAGATGGACTGCCCGAGCTGCATGACTTCCTGGTTAAGGGCAGCCATGGCGTCCTTGATGCCCTGAGTTGTTCCATCTGAGATGGCACTCTTAAGCTCGCCAAGTTTCGCCTCCACTTTCTCTTTTACTGCGCCCGGCACTTTGTCGCCCAGCTCCTTCAGCTGCTTTTCCGTCTGGTAGACAACAGAATCAGCCTGGTTCTTTGTGTCTATGGCGTCTCTCTTCTCTTTGTCTTCTTGGGCAAATCTTTCCGCTTCTTTTACCATCCTGTCCACCTGTATTAAATTGGAAACCCATTTTCAAAGATATGAAAAAACACAATCTTGTAACCAATTATTTTGTGTTATTTTTATATATTTTTTTTGAAGTGAACAAAATGATAGAAGAGTATTAGCAAACAACAATAAGGCTAATGTGCTCCATGTATCACATTGGCTTTTGGAATAATTAAATCATACCTCATCAGTGGGCAATGTGCTAGCGCCTGTGATAGTGATGTCTTGCTTCTTCCCACTGCCCTTGTCGACAGCAGTGACAGAGAGAATGCCATTTGCATCAATGTCAAATTTTACTTCAATCTGAGGAACACCACGTGGTGCAGGAGGAATGCCATCTAGGCGGAAGCTGCCCAGAGATTTATTGTCTCTCACAAATTCTCGTTCACCTTGAAGGACATTAATTTCTACACTTGTTTGACCATCTGCAGCAGTAGAGAACACCTCGGACTTTGAGGTAGGCAATGTTGTGTTCCTGGGGATGATCTTTGTCATGACACCACCAAGAGTTTCTAAACCAATGGACAATGGTGTCACATCAAGAAGGACAATATCACTTACATCCCCAGCCAAAACTCCTGCCTGTATAAAAGATATATTGATTTATTTGCATTTAGATTTTAGGCATCACAGATGAAAATTGTTGAGTATCTGCATTGGTTGCTGGAATGAATTAATTGTAGAAGTATGCATAAACCTAGCCTCTTGACACGTTTTTGAGGTGAGTTACGACTAATTCAATACAGTATAAAAACCTGACCTAATAGTGGTTTATGGGCCACCGCGACACCACTCCCTACATAGTTTGATTAGACGTGTTAGGATGGGTTAGGATGAGTTTGTATGCCCCTCAGTTAACTTGCCTAAATTGGACATAAGGGTGTGTTGAGTACTTGAGCATCCTACCTCAGTTGTCTGTTGAGTTGAGTCTAATCTAGTATGCAAGTATGAGCAAAAATCTCATCTCCTGATGATTCTATAAGGGTGCGATAGGCTCAACTTAACAAACATAATACGCAAAAGGCAAAACAATTGACTCTAACACTGCTTAAAAATATCCAACCTGAACTGCAGCTCCAAGAGCAACAACTTCATCTGGATTTACAGAAACATTTGGGTCCTTTCCGGTCATTTTCTTCACTAATTCCTGAACAGCAGGAATGCGAGTTGAGCCTCCAACAAGGATCACTTCATCAATATCACTGAATGAAAGTTTTGCATCCCTCAACGAATTCTGCACTGGTGTTTTGAGCCTGGTAAATCAAAAGGGAAATGATTGAATTATTTACTTGTTAAGCTGAAAGGAATTTAAAGCAGCTTATGCAATCCAGCATACCTGTCGAGCAAATCTGAGCACAACTCCTCAAACTTAGCTCGAGTCAGTGTGGTTTCAATGTGTTTAGGACCATCAGAAGTGGCAGTAATGAATGGCAAGCTGGGGAAACAGAATATCAATATAAACAAAAAAGGACTTAAGAATAGCTTAAAACTTGTGATTCAGTGGGTGTCAAAGAGCCACTAACAGCAAACGTGTCGAAGTCATAATGTGCACTCCAGAAAATTAAGGAGTATACACTTTTATGACAGTATTCTTGGCAGAAAAAGGTTTTTTATTTTTTTATTAGTCTCAAATCATTATAAAACACATATTGTTGGTCAAAGTTCAACATCTTAGATTTAAAAAATGACATATATGATCTATCTTTGTGGTACAAATCCCAATGTTTCTACAATTCTTGGCTCAACCAATTGAGGTTAAAGCAATGTCTAAATCTCAATTTAAAAACACTTCAAAAAATGCAAACCAGTGCAACCATTGACATCAAAAAGTTAATACCTGATGTTTGCTTGTGTCAATGATGATAGTTCCATCTTTGCCTTCTCAGCCGTCTCCGTCAAACGCTGAAGAGCTTGTTTGTCCTTTAGCAGATCTATGCCTTCATTCCTCTTGAAATCTAAAGCAAGCCAATCAACAATTCTCTACATGAAAGAGACAAATAAACTACTTCAGCTATTACAACCAATAAAGTTTCCTGGCATATCATAAAGAGAAAAAAAATGCATTCGGGCAGGGAGGAAGATGATGGCAAACCTTATCAAAATCATCGCCGCCAAGATGAGTATCTCCGGAAGTAGACAACACCTCAAACACACCATCACCCACCTCGAGAACTTTATTGCAGAGTAGAGAAAAAATGTTATTATAGATATAAGAAACACAACATAAAACAAATGTGACCTATGACATCAGCAACAAAAATAAGATGAGTATATCCGAAGTAGACAACACCTCAAACACACCATCACCCACCTCGAGAACTTTAATGCGGAGTAGAGAAAAAATGTTATTATATACATAAGAAACACAACATTACACAAGTGTGACCTATGACATCAGCAATGTAAATAGAAAGTATCTCAGAATCTTATTATATGGCACCATCTAAAAGAACCAGATGATCCTTTCGAATCCATTGTTTATTTCTACGGAGTACTAAATATTAACTGTATTTATGTTGTTTTCCCCAACAAATATTTAGGTCATGCTTATTGTTTAGATGCTGCAAGTAATGATAATAGATGGTAAAATTAGAATAACATATTGTCCCTGTCTTGTTGGGTTTTTCCAACTTGATCGAGTATGGAGATTAACACTATGTTTGGTTCAAGGAATCCGGAAAAGAAAAGAAAAGAAAATATACTGGAAAGGAAAAAACGATTTTGGTGTTTGGCTAGAAAAGAAAAGAAAGTAGGGAGGAAAAGAAAAGGTAAGGAGAATGTAAAGTAAAAAGTAGAAAAGTGGTCTTTCTTCCATTTTTGTGAGAAAAATGAGAGAAAATTATTTCCCGCTCCCCAACACATACCCCCACCCCTCTCCCTCTCAAACATGTCTTATTTCATTTTCTCAAAAACAACCAAAAGAAAACAACAAATATGAGTATTAAATAGTGGTTTCCTGACCAAGTCACCTATTAAACAAACAAGATTGTTTTTTTGGTTGATTTGATTTTCTACAATCCTTGGAATTTTTCTTTCCTTTCAAATTCCATGAAACAAAGATAGTGTATGAAATTGGAAGAGTGTGTGGTTGAGGTGTATTTAGAAAAGGACAAAAAATTGTTTCCTTAAAAGGGGAGTGAAAAATGTTTTGGACAGACGAAAAAGGAATGTATAAAACGCTGGAGAAATATTTTTTAAAAAAAATTGAGAAAATTAACAACTTCTCTTGATTTGAGTAATTTGAAAAACTGTGCCTTACAATAAGGCCCAAAAAGAGTAAAAGAAAACCATAGATCAACAACCAACCAAGCTAGATGTGGAAGTTAATTAAGGAAAAAGGTTATACCTGATACATCAAACGTTCCACCTCCAAGGTCAAACACCAAAATAGTCTCATTGTTCTTCTTTTCAAACCCATATGCCAGAGCAGCAGCTGTGGGTTCATTTATAATACGGAGAACCTCTAGTCCAGCAATGCGACCAGCATCCTTAGTGGCTGTTCTTTGAGAATCATTGAAGTATGCAGGAACAGTAACAACAGCCTTTGTGACTTTGTCATTCAAAAATTTTGATGCATCATCAACAAGCTTTCTCAAGACCTGCATCAGCAAATAATATGGATATAACAAAAAGACAAAGAATATACCAGTGAAAATCAATTGTAAATGCAACATACTAAGCAATCAAATCACAAAACAAGAGCTATAGATTTCAATTTACTTTTAGAAATTACATATAAAAGAATCCTCAATCCCCTGACTATTTGTAATGGCACAAAACATGTCTATTGATATGCAGTTGGTCTAAATCAAGGCACTGGAATCAGTGTTTAGAAAAACTGGGCATGCATTCAAATGAGAAGCTAGAAAATGGCCAGTCTTCACCAAAGCCTAGATACTCCGTATATAATTAACCTTTGAGTAAGTATACCACGCGCACTATACAAATTAGTAAGCTTGAAACTGATTAGAAGAAGATAAAGATTCTTCTATTTTATTTTACTCCATTCCTTGTTGTGACAGTTGTGAACTCGTCAAAACCATCACAAGGACTTCAAGGTTTCTCTTGCTTCATAATTTTGGCAAATTTATGATTTCATTCTTTCTTTTTTCTATAGATATTTTTAGGGTTAGATTTATTTGTTTCAATTTTTTCTAATTTTTATACTCCGTAGTCTAACTAATAGAATATGTTTTGATTTTTTTCCAGTTTCTATTTTATATTTTTCCTAAATTTTCCAAATTTTATCCAATTCGTGATTGATTTTGTTCATCTTTGTATTCAATTTTCCAATTTTTCTTCAATTCCAAAATTTTACTCGTTTGCAGGTCTTTAACAATGTGTCAAATAGATTAATTTTTATTTCATCATTCGTAGGGTACATCTTTAACCCGTTTTTGTTTTCATGTAAAATAAACACATACTCCCTCCGTCCCGTGAAACATTTCCCCTTTCTTTTTTATCCGTCCCACAAAACACTTCTCATTTCTATTAAAAAGTCACTTTTACCCCTTACTTTTTCATACCCTAACTATCACATCATACCTTTTTACTAATAATATATCCATCAAATCATACTTTTACCCATCACATCAAAGGACATTTTTGGAAATTCAATACCAAAATACACTTCCTTAAATCCCTCCTAAAAAGCAAATGTCCCATGTTTCACGAGACGGAGGGAGTATATTCTTAATGTTTTGTTTTATTCATCTTCACTTTGTTCCATATAGTTAAACTTTTTATTTCATTTTTGAATATAAGATCTATCACTTAGACATTTACTTTTTATGTGTGTCTGTCAAGTAGTATATACCAATGGTTTAAACCTAGTAACCTTTTTTTCATTGTATTTTAATATGTTTGTATATGTACTTTACCTTCTATTGAAAAATTTTAAAGTCTGTTTTATTAAATGAAATAACCAATACGTTAGTATTAGTGCTTTGGTTTATCACAAATTTTGTTTTAACAAAAAAATTGAGGCCTAAACTATTTAATTGCACAGGGCCATTTTGAATGATTGGGCGGGCCTGATAAAGAAACTATACCTGAGCAGAGATTTCTTCAGCAGCAAATTGCTTTCCAATAGCAGGACACTCAAGCTTCACATTTCCATTCTCATCCTTAAAAACGTGATAAGAGACCTGTTTAGACTCATCATCTACCTCGGACATCCTCCTCCCTATAAACCTTTTCACAGAGAAAAAGGTGTTCTCCGGGTTAACAACAGCCTGGCGCTTTGCAATCTGCCCGACAAGCCTATCCCCATTTTTAGTGTACGCCACCACAGAAGGAGTCGTCCGCTGTCCTTCCGCATTCGTCACAATGGTCGGCTTTCCACCTTCCATGGCTGCCACAGCCGAATTGGTCGTCCCCAGATCAATCCCGACCACTTTCTCGGCAACAACCCGGAGCGGAGCAATACTTGCATTTCTCCGCCTGAAGTTGCTCTTGGTCAACTCGGATCCGAACGAAAACGTCCGATTGCTCAACCTCTGCCCGAAAAACACCTTCCTGAACGGATTCCTGCTCGAAGAAGATCGATTGTTCGTGAAATAAGTAGCTCCGAGAGCGTGAACTTGAGCTGTTGAAGACGCCATCGATTAAACCCTAGCAACTGTTGTATCCGATTGCGGTTCGTGTGGATAAAGTGAGGGGGGGGGGAGAAAGCGGAGGAGAAATGGGTAGAGTTTCGTGGCGGCGGCGGCGGACGGAGAAAACTAAAACCCTGGAACGAGAAGGCGGAGAAGGGAAGAGATAAGATAAGGGGGGAAGGAAAACCAGAGGTCAGTTGGGGAGTAGGAAAGGGTTCGGCTTTTTGTGTTTGGTTTTTAAGCGAAATTGAAAATGGGAAAGTAAAAGTTTGCATTTTAACAAACTAGTATTTTGACCCGTGCGACGCACGGGGCTAAACAAATTTTTTGTCAATTTCGATTTTTGCAGTGTAATATATTCTCCAGAATCAAGTAAATATATTTCTACACCAAGGTTCCCATGACATTGGGTTCCAATGTCATGGGATGACCCGGGGGTGCTCCGGTGCCCCGTTCGTAAAATTGACGGTTCCTACCCCTCCTAATCCTCCGGTAAACCCCCCACCCCGGCCCCGGCCCGGACACACCCTACCCCCGTCAATTGCACCCCACAAATTGGTTTTGACTTTGGAGTCAAATTTTGATTTAATTAAAAAAACTAAAGTGTTATTCAAATGTCTTCAACAGCTACATTTAAATCGGCTTTGCATGAGGGATATGAAAAATTTATTACCATTCAACAAACTTGAGTGCGGGTGCTAAAAGTGCACTATCCTAAAAAAAATTCATGTTCTCTAATAGGTTCGGATAAGTGAAGTCGGCTATAACTTTTGAGGGGATAACTTATTTCAAGAATCAAGAATGCAGAACGATTTAATTTCAATGTCAGCAGTTCCATCGATCATTTGTCTAAGTTTTCCATCTTTGACTTTGATATCCAATCAGAAAAAACTTATGTGTCATTGTCTGTGTAAGAGAGTGTATATTAATGCAATCTCATATTTTTTATCAATGTATAAATTTTATAATACAACTACATTTGTGAGGAATTGGTGGTAGCACCTACAATTTCTTCTCTCAAAGCAATGAGTAAAACTGAAAGAATTTGGATAAATCTTCTTTGAGTACAAATCTTTTCCCTGTGAATGGTTCATTAATGAATTTATTATTGTAGAACCTCATTATATCTCTCATTGTGTAATCTAATGTCTCAAAAGAAAATATATGCATCGTAGATGGTAAATCTCATATGATTATACTTACTTGTTGGATTAGGTCTGCTTTCGGACTCCATTGTTTATTGTCACAAAATGAGCACTCGGTTAGCACCAAAGGGATTAAAAATCTCGACGCTCCTTCCCCTAGGCAAAAGCAATGCTACAATGTAGTTGGATGCGACATTCACGACAACCTTATCATTTGACCTTAGAGAAGCAGACAATGACTTCTAGAGAAATATTTTTCCAGTTCCACCGTAACCATTGACAAAAAAGAACTCCCTCTTTCAGCTATCACGACTTCCATTATTTCATTAGATATATTCCACTGATCTTCATTCATTGTAGATAAATATCTTCTAAGATCAAATGACAACTTTTCTTAGTCATAGTTCAACTTCTCTATCAAAAAACTATTTTGATATCTATTAAGTTGATTGTCATCTTCAAATGGCATGCACTTGAATTCCTTTAAAGGTCGTACATTTCAATTAAGCAACTTTTCAATCCCAATTAGACATAAATTCTTTAGATCTTCTCATGAGATTATAAGCTCTGCAAAAAAAGAATTATTTGTTTTTATGCAGTGCTCAATTAAAGAATTTTGTTTTCATATAATGTGTTTCAGATATATTGATACATTAAAAAACTATCTTCATATTCAAGTACCTTGATTCCAAAATATTCTCATTCGATCAAATAAAATTCCATTCACTAAGAGTTCCTATAATTTTTTTAAAACAATTTATGGGTGACTCATGGTACGTGGACAAACAACATTTTAGCATATTTCTAAATCCTAACTTAGCAACCTCTTTTATACCTTCAATAAGTTCTTTATCATCGGTTAATAATCCCAATGCTTCACATGCTACCTTAAATACGCTATGTAGAACATTGTTAACTCTCAGCAAGCTCTAATAACTTGTACATCCTCGCTGGACAGTTAATAATACAACTCTCTGGTTTCGTAAGCATGTATTGTAGTCTGCCTATTAATGACCTTTGTTACATCGGAACCATTTCCGCACTTTAATTCATGATTGTATAAAAAAATTTGGGAAATTCTTTGCATACATCAAATTTTATCCCGCATTATATTGTGTATGGGAAATGATCCAAGCTTCAAACATTGAAGCTTTGTCAACATTTTCTTTGACAATATCTTTTAGCTTTTTTTGATCTCTAAAGGTTACAAATTTTAGCCATGGGAGATGAAAATTCAACCTCGAGTGCATCCACCATATTAATTCACGTAATACTTTCTTACATTGTTTATAATATCGTATACATAGAGTTAGTTAATACACAAAGATAATTGTTTTATTATCATCTTCAAAGAAAATAAATTAAAACATGTGTTATAGAAGATAGATTCATATGTCTCTTATGCATTTAAAAGCATTATGAATTGTGTAATTATTCCCGGATCAGAGCACTGTATAGATTTTTTTGGGAAAAAATTACTGGAAAAATTAAATATTTAATTCATAATAATAAAAATACCATTTGTCACATTATAGAGTACATTCTTTCTCGAATGTGTTCGATGATGCAAGGTTATAACCGATGACGACCTCTATCTTTCTGTATGTGTAATAACCATCATATGTATTGCAAAAGCAATACATATGTACATGTTTGCTTTACTACCTACCAAAATAGAACCTAATCCCGTTGAACACTGCCTATGAATGAGGATTAAAATTTACTCTGTAAAAAATAGATCTACGGTAAAAAAAATTCCCAAACCTCTCAATCGCCTCCTACGGACCAAAATCAAAGCAATGAAGTTTCCTTTGATTTTGAAGAATATGAATTCGATATTTCATTATTCTTATTAGTATACAACAACAACACAGTTGAATCTTACTACAGTAGGGTCTAGATATTATTCTTATTAATATAATGTTAATTATTGTTAAATAAATTAATGAATAGACTTTATTTTATTATAACACAATGGCACATTTTCTACATGTCGTATAGGGTCCCTCATTTCTCAGAGACGGCCCTGAATATTACTTATTTATTTTATTTTGAAATAATGTCAAAATAGGCATGCGTTTTTAATTTCAAGAATTTTAATTAATACTAATTACACTTATAATAGTTAATATTATACCATAAATATTTCGATTAGGAACACCAATTAATAATTAATTTCTTACACATAAATGCTCACATACTAAGTCATCATCATTTTAAAATTTATTATTGAAAAATAGTAATTTTTTGGAACATATCTATAAATTTTTACAAACTTAGTAATAAAAAATAATAATAAAAAAATGGAAAATACTAATTTTAAAATGGAACATACTTGTTATTTGACTTAGAATTTTTTAATATATATGATATATATGAAATTATTGCTCTATAAAATAAACATGCCCATAAAAATCCTTTTTCTTTTATATATTTGTTTCTCTTTTTTCAAAGTTGGAATATCTCTCTAATTAGTATTAATTTAAAGTAAAAGAATATTCATATGTAATTTCTTTTAGTCTTACCAATCTATCACTTCTTAGAATAAATTTATTTATTTTGATTATTGTTTTTGAATATGAGTTATTTTTTCAATTTCAAAATATATTATTTAATTTAAATATTTTCCAATAATGAATTGAGATATAAAAGTTTTTAAATGTGATTATGCTGAGAAATTTGAGTGTAACAAATACAAAATTTAATTTCCATTGAATAAGTTTTTTTGTTAACTAATATTTAAATATAACTTGATAACATGGCATTTTGACATGTTAAAAAAATTGTTTAATAAACGTGTCACATGTCACAATTCCAGAAAGCCAACTCTCAAATTTTATATATTAAATTTTATTTTTTAAATTGAAAAGGCATTTTTATACAATCTTTTTTTAATTATGAAATATCATAAAAGGTTATGTGAACTTGCAATAAAAATCACCCTTGCTTGGATGGCTAGAAACTCAACCAATGTCTAGGAGGTTTTGGGTTCAAACCCCTACAAATGCATGTTTTGGAAAAAAATCGCAAGATTAAATACGTGGCAGATGACTTGTTAAAAATATGCCAAGTAGACTTGTCACATGTCAAAATTCTGTGCGATGAGTCTCAAATATTATAGTAAAGGATTAAAAGCACACCCTCCTAGTCCCCTCCCCCCAAAAAAAAAGCACACCCTCCTATAGAGAAAGAGTCGAGTGTTCAATAAATATTTAAGAAATTTCAAAAACTGTCAAAAAATTTTTATGTAAATATTAATTATGTAGTATTCACATTTTTGGTATAATATTTTTATTTCCATTATAACATTAAATTTTTTCATATAAATATGTAAAATACTGTATCAATTTTTAGCATTCATACAACTCCATTCCAGAAATAGTTATTGGTGTTTATATTTTATGATTTTTTAAAAAGTTTATAATAAGGTTAAAAATATTTAGGAGCTAATGTAAAATAAAGATCAATTATTTATATTTGTATTCTTTTAGTTTTTCGCATATCATATATATTCATATACTCCCTCCGTCCCATAAAACATGGGACATTTGCTTTTTAGGAGGGATTTAAGGGGGTAATTTTTGGTATTGAATTTCCAAAAATGTCCTTTGATGTGATGGGTAAAAGTATGATTTGATGGATAGATTATTAGTAAAAAGGTATGATGTGATAGTTAGGGTATGAAAAAGTAAGGGGTAAAAGTGACTTTTTAATAGAAATTTGAAGTGTTTTGTGGGACGGATAAAAAAAGAAAGGGGAAAGGTTTCATGGGACGGAGGGAGTACATAAAACGAAGCACATAGAAAATTTGATTTATTTGGTTTGATTCAATTTTCCAGAGTGAAAACCAAAACGGAATCCGAACTATAATTGTCCGGTTCAATTTTTTACATTCGATTTTGATTTTTTTGATTCAATTTTTTTCTAGCTCGTTTAGATAGATATCAATTTAGCATATACTTTGTAACAATTTTTTTTTATTTCTTTTCATACTAAAAATTAAATTTAATAGCGTATAATGTTTTCCTCTAAACAAATTTTATTCATACATTTTTTGTTTTTAATAAAATTTTAGAATTCTGTGAAGTTG